GAAGGGATAAGAAAAGGAATAATAAGATAATAAGTAGAAGTAAACAGAGGTATACAAAAGATAAAAGAGGAGATAAAGAAGAAAAGAGAAGTAAGACGGGGAAGAAGAGGAAAATGAAGAAAGAAAAAGAAGAAAAAGTAGAGGGGAAATAGAAGTAAGAAGAGGGAGAGAAATAAGAAGAAAAAGAAAGAAATAGAAGTATGATTTAGAGAGGGAAAAGATAGAAGATAAGATGTAAAAAGAGGAAGAATGAGAAGAGAGAAAAGAGAGATGAGGAGTTGAAAGGATAATTAAGAAAAAGAAGAGAAGGGAGAGGAAAATAAGAAAGAAAAAGGAAGGTGATGATAAAAAGCTTGTGACAAAAAGGAAAATAATACACTTTCAAATTAAAATTTAAAAAAAGAAGGGATCAGAAGAATTAAATAGGAACTAAAAAATAGAGAGAAAGAGATGAAAAGAGAAATAGAGAGAAGAAGAAGAAGACAAGAGAACAAAGACAAAGAAAAGAGAATGAGAAAGAAGAAAAATACAAGAGTAAGAGGAAAAGGACAAGAAGAGGAAGGGAAAGAAGAAGGAAAAAGGAAGGGGAGGGAAGATAATAAGAGGAAGAATAAGATGAAGAAAAGAGGAAAAATATAAAGAGAAAAAGAAGAAGAAAGGAGAAAAAGGGAAAATTCAATTTTTTAAAGTCACCTCATAAAACGCATTTTAGTTCGCGTTGGACAGAAATGTGCAGTCCTCAAAAGAATCCTTTTCCCGTCCACGGCTTTTCAAATCAACTTGCTGTTTCAGAGCGCCTTCAATTTAGGATGATACAACAAGTGTAACGTATAATTTCAAAAACCGCAGTTGGATTAGAATCAATCGGTTCTCTTGAGATTAGGCTCATTAAGCACAAGAGCTAAGATACGCAACACCAATTTCGGCTTTTTCGACTCCCTCACACTTCCCTTCCTCGTCGTAATGATTTTGGGACGCAGGTCCTCATCCTTTATCACGTGAAAACGAAATGGTGTAACGGTCTCTTCGACCCGCCCCTTCCCTAGAGCGTTAAGTATGTTATGAACGGTCCTTAAACCAAGATCGTAGTTGAATCATGTTTAAGTTGCAAGCAAATGAGATCTGATGGAAATTAAAAGTTTTTAAACGACAAGACAGCTTATTTGAAAAAGTACTTCGTCACTGTAAATAATCATTTTTGCATGGTAAAAACTATACATTAAACGTTTTAAGCTCTAAACGTCAAGGATATGTGTTGAATTTCGGTGGAATTTCCGTTATTGCGCATTTTTATCTTTTCTAACGCAGAGAGATTGGAACAATAATGTCGAGATTAGGTTGTAAATGATGGGTCCTTTGCAGGCCCGCCACAAGGAAAGGGGGATACTGGGTCCCTGTAACCGGGGCCCGGTCCCCGGAGGGGGCCCGTGTTACCCGTGAAAAACCACTACGAATTCACATGCAACCCTTGTTTCGTAGGAAAAAGTGAAAATGACCCTAAAAATTTCGCAAAAGGTGAATAGATTTTCAGAAACACGCTGGGGCACTGTAGAATTTTTCTTAAATTTTCAAAGAAGTATACTTCTTGGAAAATTTCTATCTATTTTCAAGATTTTCAGTACAGAGGAGTATTTTTAGTAACTGCGTTTCATTTTCTTCCGTCGTCAGATGCTAAGAGTCTCCAGTCTGGGCATCCTCGACTTCAATGGCTCACGACTCAACTCCCTTGCCATAGACAAACGAAGGGAGAGTCCAGGGGGGCCTGGCCCTCATAGAACTGAAAATAGTATCATATGCCCCCCCCACCAAAAAAATAAAAGAAAATAAAAATTTTCCAGATGTTTTGAATGCAACAATTCGCAAGTATTTTGTGCTGAAAGAATAAAAAAAAAAGAAAAAAAAATATTATTCCGCAGAAATTGATGGAAGCTTCAAAATGCGTCCAATTAGTCGTATAGATTCTAAAATTTCTCGGGGGATGCCCCTCGGACCCCCACCCCCCTCCGTGCTTGAGGCCCGGACCTTAAAACTGGTACCAGGGCCCGCGATGGGATGTGGCGAGCCTGCATGAAGGCTATTTCCATTTAAATCTTCCGTCACATTCATACGGCGCAATGATACAACTATTTGAACTCTCCGGAATGCGAGAGGTATCACGCCGCATTTGAAGGCGTTTTCAAATCAGCTTAGTTCCGATACCCGGAATATCGTTTTGCATAGTTCATATTCTTTTGTTATATTCCGTACCACTCGATTATTTTTAATCCTCGTAGAAAAACCACCCATTTGTAATACAATTCTAGCGGAAGCGCACTTCAGCGCATTCATGACAGCAAAAATGTTAACGGAAATCGAAACGACCAGCGTGCATGAAGGCTACTTCAATTGTAATCTTTCGTCGCATTTCTAAGGCGCAACGATACAACTGTTTGAACTCTCCGGAATGTGTGAGGTATCACCCCGCGTTTGAAGGCGTTTTCAAATCAGCCAATACCCGGATTATCGTTTTGCATAGTTCATATTCTTTTGTTGTATTCCGTACCACTCTTTCATTTTTAATCCTCGTAGAACAACCACCCTTTTGCTAGATACAATTTTAGCTGGAGCGTACTTCAGCTATGCATTCACCACTGCAAAAATTTCAAAGGGAATCGACAAGCCCAGCGTGCATGGAGGCTATCTCCATATGTCTGTGAAGATAGCACCCCGACTTTTAAAATTTTAAATTTTGCGGTGTTTCAAAATTTCCGTTCGTAATTCATCTCTTCCATGAGAAGCAATCCAAATCTACGACTTTAAATTTTGAACCAAATCTTCTGCTATCGAATACGAAAAATCATGGAGAATTTAAGTTTTATGTTGACCAGTTTCTCGAAAGAAAAATAAAATTTCTAAGGAAGTCTGCAACGTCGCAAATGGAGAAACGTCGTCTCTCATTTCGCCCTAAATTATGTATGTATGAAATTGAAGGCTCTCTCAACGTATATTCGTCTGTAACGATAAACAATGGGACGCGCTTGCTACGGCGCCTTTATACAACTATACAACCTCGACGGATGTCCGTATTGCGTCCAAAAAGTTGAAGGCGTTTTGACTTCCTACGCATAATACCTGAAGTTGATTCGATCGACAAACGCGTCGGTCGGCGGTGACGGGGACTTGACGCAACTATTGAAGCTTGTTGGATGTCCGTATCGGTCCGACTGAAGTGCGAAACCACGGATATCCATTGCGGTGTTTCAAAATTTCCGTTCGTAATTCATCTCTTCCATGAGAAGCAATCCAAATTTACGACTTTAAATTTTGAACCAAATCTTCTGCTATCGAATACGAAAAATCATGGAGAATTCAAGTTTTATGTTGACCAGTTTCTCGAAAGAAAAATAAAATTTCTAAGGAAGTGTGCAACGTCGCAAATGGAGAAACGTCGTCTCTCATTTCGCCCTAAATTATGTATGTATGAAATTGAAGGCTCTCTCAACGTATATTCGTCTGTAACGATAAACAATGGGACGCGCTTGCTACGGCGCCTTTATACAACTATACAACCTCGACGGATGTCCGTGTTGCGTTCAAAAAGTTGAAGGCGTTTTGACTTCCTACGCATAATACCTGTAGCTGATTCGATCGACAAACGCGTCGGTCGGCGGTGACGGGGACTTGATGCCACTAATTAAGCTTGTTGGATGTCCGTATCGGTCCGACTGAAGTGCGAAACCACGTATCTCCATTGCAGTGTTTGAAAATTTCCGTTCTTAATTCATCTCTTCCATGAGAAGCAATCCAAATTTACGAAGTTTTCAAAACAGTCAAGTTCGGATATCTGAATAATTTTTTTGCATGGTTCATAGTCTTTTGTTTTCATTTCTAACCACTTGTTTATTTATAATCCTCCTATAAAAATTACCCATTGGTTAACTACAATTTTAGCTGGAGCGCAGTCTCCAGTCTGGGCATCCTCGTCTCCAATGGCTCATGGCTCAACTCCCTTGCCATAGACAAACGAAGGGGGTGTCCAGGGGGGCCTGGCCCTCTTAGAACTGAAAATAGTATTATATGCCCCCCCCCAAAAAAAAATAAAATAAAATAAAAATTTTCCAGATGTTTTAAATGCAACAATTAGCAAGTATTTTGTGCTGAAAGTAGAAAAAAAAAAAAACATAATTATTCCGCTGAAATTGATGGAAAAATTCTTTATGGAAGCTTCAAAATGCGTCCGATTAGTCGTATAAATTCTAAAATGTCTTGGGGGATGCCCCTCTGACCCCCCCCCCCCTCCGTGCTCGGGGCCCGGACCTTAAAACTGGTACCAGGGCCCGAGATGGGATGTGGCGGGCCTGGTCCTTTGGTGTTTTTACTTTAACTTAGATTTTAGAAAATATTTGGTCTTGAAAAAAGACATGAATATCTTGATCAAAGTAATAGAAGGTCGATGAATTTATTCAAAATTCTTTCCTCCCCGTTATTTAAAAAAAAAAAAAAGATTAAAAAAATGTGACGTCCGTGACACCAAGTTTGCAAAAATTGAAAAAGAAATCTCAGTAGAAATTTGAGCTGTTCTTAACGGAAAATTCATTCAAATAAAATTTCATACCTAGATGACGGAAATATCGTGCGCAGTTACAGTCGTATTTTGCTGTAATGTTTCTTGAAAAAATGAATTCCCGGAAACAGCACTCATTTTCTCAAGTCCTTGCGACTGTTCATCGTTTAAAAGTTGCTCGAAATAACGCGTTTCCGGAAACAACATTCTATTTTTAATTCCGCTTTGAAAACGTTATGGCGAGATACAACTTTATTTCTCAAAATCCTCCACATTTTATGAAGAGGCCAACTTGATTTATTCATTTATTTTGTATTTGAGAAGGGAAGGGGGATGGTGTTAGACCACCATTGTCCCTTTTTACAAAGTGTCATCTGAGATCACCTTAGAGCCTAATTTGCTCTGCGGTACCTAAAAAATGCAATTAGACGGGAGAAAGAGGTATGATATTCGATAGCTCAGTAAACATTTGCCTTTTTATTTTGATTCAAAATAATTCAATTTCTTTTCAAAAGGGAAAGACAAACAAATTAGGTATAGAAACATGCATTGCTTTAAAAACTGGAGGAGCAAAGCTTTTGTCCAAAATGAAAACGACATGATTTTACTCTATACGCGTTTTTAAAACTTCACCTTATTCTCATCTAAACAACGTTCTCGATCACGAGAAAACTTAATTACTTTTGCGCTTTTTTTCCAAGCATGTGTTTTTAATGATATGACACAGTAACTCTGAAAAAATTAAAGATAAATTTTAGCTGGTTCTCTTATAATAGAAGATTTATTTTGTTTGATAAAAATAGAAACATCTAAAATTGAGTTACAGCTATCTTATTTTGGACAGTAGAGTGACTGATGCAAAAATATATATTTCATATACCGATGGCCTAAATGTGATCCCGCGTACCTATAAAACTAGGGATTTTGATTTACTGGCGCTTATATAACATAGGGGCCACCGTGCATCTACTCGTATGATATTACTACTCAAAACACACGATAAATTTTTTATATCGACACGGAAAAAAAGAGTACGGGGTTGCTGGATGATATGGACATTTCCAATTAATTGTAGTAGTTCCCCAATACATTCGGTTACTAGTCGAAATGTTGCAGTACTACCACGATTAATTGGAAATGTCCATATCATCCAATAAATTGGGGTAGTCAATAATTTTAGGGGAAATGTTACCATTGAATAGGGAGGAAAAAAAGTCAAGCTGTTTCTTGACTCTCCTGAAAAGGCACAGTGGTCTTGAAGCAATAAAAAATGCGACAAAAATGTATCCAAAAACGGTTTGCAGGGGGTGAGTCTAAGGTACATGAGGACTTAAAATCGCTACTTGCGCACGTGACACCTTCAGAGAGTCAAGCATGTAATGAGCTGAAATCAGCACGCACAAAATATTTATAACAACAATTGCTGCAGACGCAGCGGAAGGCGAATCGTTCAGTTATAAAAAAGAGTATGACAGGTAGTCTGCATGTACCGAGAGGGTATGTATTCAATCAACATGAATCGAAAGATCAACACTGACTCAGTGGACTAATAAGTAAAAATCGATCAAAGTCAGTAGAAAACGTGCATTTACTATATAAAAATTTTAACTTGCGATATCTCGGAATTAGTATCAGCTAAGATTTTGATTTTTCGCGATTTCAAGTCCACACGTACCGTAAACTCACCCCGTGCAAAACGTTTTTGGGTACATTTTTGTCGCGTTTTTTTTTTTTTTTTTTTTTTTTTTTTTTTTTTTTTTCTTTTTTTTTGCTTAAAGACAACTGTGAAGTAGGGACCATGAAGATACGTGGTGTCACACTTTGGCCGTCAATATGCGTTTTGAGGTCATGGCTGATTAGCAGGTAAGTATATACTATCTACTTCAAAAAATATCAATTGATTTCCAAAAATATAATGGTATTTAGTCGGAACGATCTTCTTAATATGAACAATTAAAAGTGGAACATTGAAATAGGAATGTGTTAACAGGATGAAACGATGAAGAAATTAGATGATCAGCTTGAATACTTAAAACTAATTGAAAAATTGAATTATACAGCGAGTCAAGAATGAACTATGACCATAAAGTATAACAGAGTTACGGAAGTGATATGCCTCGCCAGCGGAGAAAAATTAGAAGTTTCCATCAATTTTGAGGGCTAATGACAACATTCTGTCGAAAGAATCTGAATGATTTAAAGAAATGCAGAGCAATAAAATGATAGCAACTCTTAAACAATGATTGATGATATTAAAAATGTATCTATACGGGAAATAAACATGTGTAAAACTATTTTTCTGTTGGAATATTCAGAGCACTGACTCCTACCAACCTTTTAGAAATCATCAGTGCGTAAACTGCCTAAAAGTAAGCTTATCAGTGATTGAATAAAATTATGCAACGAACACACTATGTCTCATTCAAAATGTGGAACATAACAAGAGAGAAAATAAAATTTGTACTTTCAGGGAATTAAACAAGATCTTAATTTTACGACAGCTAGGGATAATGAGTGGTCACAATTTACAATAACATGAAAGTTAGGTATCACTTAGAGGTAAATACAACCTGTAGGCTTTTCAATAGATGATAGTCAACTATGTTCAAAGCATGGGCAAACCACGAAAAAAAAAAAAAAAAAAAAAAAAAAAAAAAAAAAGTTTCCTTAGAAAATACATAAAAAATGGTTGGAGTACTAACGAGTGCAATTATGATCAAAAATAGAATTTTCCTGATGCTAACCTTTATTATGGTATTTCGTGCTTAAAATGCATAATGGGCCAATGCATAGACAATGTACGAATTTAAGCACTCTGATATACGTTTCTAAACCAAAATGTCACGGAAAACACGATTTTTGTATCAAAAATTACTGAAATCAACTCCTAACTAAGATAATGACGTTTTAATTTTACATTGGTTACAGGAAATTTAAATTGCCCGGCCAAAAGAAACTCAATACTCTACGTGAGTCAAATCGTGCCTTACAACAGTTTCGGCAGACTTCTCGATCGAGCACTGTTCCTTTCCCAACCTTTATCGTTCAAAGTGTAAGTAAACAATTTGTTATAGCTGAGCCAAAGCGTCATAATTGAGGCTACTGTATTTTCGTATTGCAGAGACTACCACAGTAACGTTTAGTGTGCGATTTGACTCACGGAGACCATTGAGTTTTCATGAGCGGGAGGTTTGAATTCACGCTTCAAGAAACATTAAATCTCTTGGTTAGGAGTTAATTTCAGTAATTTTCGTTGCGCGAAATGTGTTCTACATGAAATTTTGATTATGGAACATGTATCAGAATGCTTGATTTCATACTTTGTCTGGTGGTCCTCACAATTAACTTCCACTGGTTGAGGTATTTTAAGCATGCACAAAGAGCAAAATATACACTTTGTTTCACTTTTAACTTTCCTCTCACGTTCTTTATCACTGAGATGATATTACTGATATATTGATGGCCTTTTGTTCCGAGGAAGTCTTTACTATTTCTCATCCTTATCATTTATTCTTTTTATCCTCTTTTTTTTTTTTTTTGCTAATAATCTGAGTAGGTGGTGAGCTCACTTGGAGCACCTTCACAAAAGGATGAAGAATATTTGCAGATTAAATTTTCGGACTATGTTCATGCACGCCTATTACTGATGGTCATTCTTCTGAGATTTCTTTGAAACTTACAAAAAGAAAAAAAGAAGAGGAAAAATGAGAAAAGTTGTGCAGAAAATAGGAACGGTACAAAACATTTCCAAAATTTAAATGAAGCTCTTTCAGAAGTTTTGATATGCTACGGAAACCAGTGATGAAAAAAGAAAAAAAAAAATCGTAATTTCTACTGAATGGTTTTCTGATTTTAAACTCGTCTAGATGAACGAGAGAGAAAACACTTAAAATCCTGACTGTACTTGACATACCGCAGTAAATTTGAACCAAAAACATAGTAAATGTTGCCTAAATCTGATCATCGGATTACTATCACTCAGTTTTCTGTTTGATTGTGAGTCCGAAATCAAGAAGAACTTACCATACTTATTTTCAACGCGGTCTGACCGCTCAAGTAAAATTAACAAGAAAAATAATAATCCCTGAAGAACCTAAAAGTAAAGAATGACAAAAAGCGGGATCAATATTTAGTCATCTCAGCCACCGACTAGTCCTGAGAAACATTTTCTTGAGCTATAAATTCATTTTTCTCATCTTCATTCTTTCCTCAATTTTCCGCATCTTGGGTACAAAGAGTTAAACCTTCTGCAGCCCCGGAAAAAAATTTTAGATAGAGATCTTTGATCAAAATGTACAGAGTTCTTTATACAGACACTACCTCACACTGCAAATAAACTTTACATCCACACAAAGTGACAAAATGCATTTGTGATCATTTAATCATTTTATAGGAAAATATGCAGACATTTGAACATTGATGAGACCCATGAAAAACTTATAGCTTAAATTTCGGGCTACTCTCTTGAGTCAAGCGGTAAACGCTCCATGACAAAATTGAAGAGAGATTCCATACAGCTCCAACTGGTCATTTCATGTTTGGGTGTACCTAAACACAAGAGAGTAATATGCAAACATTAAACGGTGCTCTTTCACGCAAAATATTTTCATAGTTTATACAATCTGTATAATACAGAGAGGACCCGGCAAGGGTTCTCAAATGAAGTGATTCCCTACTTCTCGTAGTCTCGTGTCTTTTCTAAATACCGGTGACAAAGCTTTGCATCTTTCTGCTTTTCACGAAAATGTCTAAGGAAGTAGTTACTGCTCCTTGAAAGCTGCATTTATATGTCTCGTTGATTAGATTTCCTGTTTCTTGAACAGGCACAGACTGGTCATGTGGGACTACTGAGACTTTCCTCGGTGGGCCGGCCTCCGGTCTATCACACAGTTAGCCTGTGTCACACTATCAAAATACTCCATCAAAATGTCAAGGTCAAGTGCTGTGATTGGTCCAAGTCATCGAATAAGCTAATCACAACACCTGACCTTGATATTTTGATGACTGGTTTTGTAGTGTGACACAGACGATTTTTGAAGGTTGGCAGCACTGTTTTTCGCCAATTTAAATGTATCTACAACAAGCGATTCTTGGTCGATTGGCAGCTTGTCTAACCTAAAATCCAAGACTCGAAGTACAGTCACGCGTCTCAGTGTTTACAGTAGAGTATCTATTTTTTGTTCAAAATTCGTATTTTGTCGGGTCTGAGGAGTTTAAAAAGCGTCAAAGCAAACTGACTCACTATTAGTGTTGTGGCCAGTTTGATTTTACGTATACGGTGTAAAGATTATAAAATTTGATTAAATTTTTTCAAACGATCAAATGAGAAAATAAAAAAGAAAGGAATAGAAAAATAAATACATTAAGAAATAAACATGCAGTTTCAACACAAACAAAATTAAGAGCGCGCCAAAATCGAGGTCTAAATTAGATGAAAGGACTTCAATTTTGAGCCTGAACAGAAAAAAAAACAGATATCTGGATTGCAAGGTTGGATAATTTCGGAGGTGCCAAGATATCGCTGAAGGCCACTTCCGCCATCTTAGATTTATTATTTTGAATATTTGAGTTGGAATTCAATTTTCCCGTCTCAAAATTCCATCTGCAACCAACCAAATTTCACGATCGTATATCGTGTGATTAGCAGGACTCCACAAAGTGGTAAACGATACCTGTCAAATTATATGCGGCGGTGCGCCTTCATTTCCGTCTGATACTGTGCAATACGTCTGAGGCAGAATAGTTGCTCCAGAGCGCCTTCATCAGTAGCGGGTCCACTTGATGGTGGAAGATCACGATTACCGCTAAGATTACCCTCTAGCGCGTGCGCTGTTACACAGTTTCTCATCACCGAACGTGAGGTAAAAGACATTCATACCCTAATTTGCGACGTTGTAAGTAGTTTATTGCCGAAAATTCTGCCGTGCTAAGGAAAAACGCCGTATGAACGTGCATGGGTTGCCAAATTTCCTTTGATAAAACACAAATTTCCTGCTAAATTTAGGGATATTTTTCTTCTAATTTTTCAGATAATTTTGCTCATAATTTCAACTAAAGTTCCTGGAAATTTCAAGGAAAAATATTCATAACTTTCCTTAATAATAGACATTTTATCGAAGGAAATTTGGCAACTCTCGAATGTTCAGACGGCGTTCTTCCTTAACACGGCAGAATTATCAAAACCCTCGAGATAAACGGGCCCGAGGAGTTGAAAAAGGGCCAAAGCAAACTGACATGACATTCAGTGTTATTTTCAGTTCGCTTTAGTGATTTTGCGTCTATGTACTGTAAACCGTAATGACTGTGGACTTTGATCATACTCTGAGCGATCAAATGGTGGTATCGTGGTAAAACGGCACGCTCGCTCGAGACACACACAAATTAGAGTTTTTCACCAAACGGAAGAAGGTTATTTTAACGTCATGCCAGTTTGCCTTCAATTTTGAGAGTAGGCAACACAAGCTCCCACGTGGTCGAATAGTGGTATCATCCCCTATGTAAGTCAGGCGATCTCCGCCAGCTTGGCCTCCTGTGGTGTACCTAGTAGTTGTAGCACTAGCTTTATGATGGGGAGGTCCCGGGTTCGATTCCCGGCTAGGCGACCCGAGTTTGATGGTCTCAAACGATGGTTGCCTGGGACTGGTTGTTCAGTAGGGACGGAAGGGGGCTGGGACTATAAAGCGCGGGATTAGCCCTTGTAGGCTACTTGAAGTTGTAAAAAAAACTAATGTATTGTGAACACGATAACACAAGCAGAATATGAAATAGGAAAGAGGAAGAATAGGAAAAGAGAAAGGAGGAGAAAGGAAGGGGAGGGAAGGGGGGGGGTTATAGGACATTTTGTCAACGATTTTTTGTCCGCGCACCTGTTTTATCCAGTAGTTTACGTCCACGCGTTTTTTCGGAAGGGGAGTTTTGGTCCACTTACCACTTGAGACCCAAAGTTAAATGGTCCACATGTAAATACAAACGACAATTGCTTACGACGTTTTTGAATGAAAATGTTTAATGTCTTGGAAGAATGAGGATTTGCTTGTTGTTTTTTTTTTTTTTTTTTTTTTTTTTTTTTTTTTTTTTTTTTTTTTTTTNTTTTTGTTTGTTTGTTTGCTCCAACGGTGAAAAATATATAATTGAGATTTTTGGTAAAGATGAGGGAGCGTCATTTCCATGAGAGAAAATTCACTAAAACTCTCTACACCTCTTTGGTGCAACAGGACTCAATTATCTTTCAAGAAAATCCCATATTTTTATACCTGAACTGGAAAACCTTTTGATTTGCCTCAGCTAAAGGATATCATATTTTTCCTGTGCATAATAACTTCGCTTCGGCACTGGTTTGCCGCAGTGCTTCGAGCTACTATTTCGCCACGGAGGTGTTGCACGGTATCATATGAGATCGAAGGCAACCCAACGTATCATGATTGATGGCATCTTTCAAAAGCGCGAGGTTCCCTCGCAAATTAAATCGAGTGACGACAACAAAAAGAGAGTGGTAGTCGAAAAACTTAATGTCCTAGAATCTGTATTTAATAACGTTTAGTATGATTTTTAACTTCATTAAAGGAACAAGTGACCTAATTTTAGGAGAAATATCCTTAAATTTACCGCCGAGAAGATTTCCTTATGAGTTAATAAAGAAAATAATGTTTTCCTGAAGAAGAATAAAAGATACTTTTATAAAAAGGAAAGTCACTTACATCAAGCAGAAACCCGCTTTTGTTCACCTTATTTTATTCTTGATTCAAAATGAAATCTTCTTGACGGCATACTCAAGAATGTTCCTTTATTTCTCTTATCTCGACTTATTTTGAAAGGAAAGTTCCGTACTCTTAAAGGACGCCTGCATGTCATTCTTATTGTTGGTATTTTGGAGTGCCTTCAATTTCGTATAATACTGTACAACACCTCTATTAGTGTATTTTCCGAAGGAAATACACTATTGCATTCTCCCATGATGTCGGACCCAGACCCGAGACCTTGTGAAGAGCATCGATCACGGGTCGTAGATCACGAAAATATATGCCATTCAAATTCATGTGTATATATATATGTATGTATATATGTATGTATATATGTATGTATGTATGTATGTATGTATGTATGTANTCAATTTCGTATAATACTGTACAACACCTCTATTGTAAAATAGTGAAGCACCGTGGCACGTGGCACGCTGCGGCGCGGCCAGCCAGCCAGCACGGAACGCGCATTGGCGCCTACAAACCTAAGGGATACCTCAAGCATTGCGCAATGCGTGAAGTATCTGCTTAAGTTTATAGGTGTGAGTGCGCGTTTCGTGCTGGCAGCACGTCGCATCACTCCGCTTAAAGCAAGGGCCTATTATTTAAACTCGCGGAGTCAGCGTTTTTCAACTCATGATTTTTATATGTTTGCACACTCTCCATGGATTAATTTTTTTTTTTTTTTTTTTTTTTTTTTTTTTTTTTTTTTTTTTTTTTTAATAAATTTTTATTGATATTAACCAATACAATAAATGTCACTACTACCTAATTAACCTAAGGTATCTATTGACTATTTTTAATAATAAGTTTAAGTTTTAAAGGTAAAGAACGTATAATAAGTATTCTAATACGATACTCATTATTCTAACTAACAGTATTTAATACTGCAGTTGTTGTCTTCCATGGATTACTTTAATTTAAATTGATAAAAAAAAAATATGTATATGAAAGGAAAATTAAATGTGTGTTTTGTAAATATTAAGGTGTTTCCTTGTCGTATTTAATGATTTTCAAAGCACATTAATTTTTTCCTTTATATTTTGTGCTTTTGCTGTGCTGCAGCGTGGTGTGAGCGTAACCAAACGCTCAAAATAGGACGTATTTGACTCTGAAAGATCAATGTACAAATGGGCTAAAACCGAAGATTGCGTGCTTCCCGGTTTTTTCCCTATTTTATTCATTTGTGCATAGTTTCTTGCGACACAACTACTGCTAATTGACTTTAATATCGATGCCATCGATTGGAAAAGGTTTTACAAATATTTGCCACGTTTTAAAAATGTAAATGTTTTTAAAATAAAGTGATATTTTCATTTAAAAAAAGTATTTATAAGGTTTATTTTTCATCGAAAATTTTGAGGATGGAAATAAAACCAAATATTCACCCATGACAATTTAAAAAGATTGATCAAAAGAAGGAAATAACATTTCATTTAAAAAATGAGTTACCACAACAACTCTCCCGTCTCTCTCAATTTTCTCATTTGATTATTGTCGATATAATTTTATATACGGACTAAAATATGACACTTGGATCAAGTCACTGTTGCTTGTTTCACGCGTGGACGTAAACTACTGGACAAAACAGGTGTGCGGACAAAAAATCGTTGACGGAATGCCCTGAAACCGAAGGGGGAGAGGAGAAAGAAAAAGAGGAGAAAGAAAAAGAGGAGGGAGAAAAAGAGGAGGAACAAAAAGAGGAGGAAAAAAGAAGGAAACAAAGAAGAAAACAAAGAGAAAGAGTAGGAAGAAGAACAACAACAACATCATCATCATCATCATCATCATCAGGGGCGATGCGAGAATCATTGATTGCCGATATATACTCATTTGAAGCTATGGTCGAGAATCGATTATTAAATTGTTTGTTTCAAACATTTCTAAGCACCCCTTGAAATGTAAAATGTGACGAAATACACTGGTAAAAAAAAACCTCTTGGTTCAAGAGTGCAGTTTCTTGTCGCCGGATTTAACAGTCCGGACTCTTGTTTCAAGCGGATTTTGAATTGAATCAATGCAAAATCCGCTTGAGACAAGAGTTCAAGACTCTTAAATCCGGCGACAAGAAACTGCACTCTCAAGTCAATGCACCACGGCATTGGTCGAAGAGGTTCTTTTTACCAGTGTAAATATCGAAATTTGCAGTTTGAGTCAAAAATTCCATGTCCAACCTCCCTAATTGACTCTGTCCACTGTGTGCCAGTGCGTTTACATTTTGAGCGAATGCACGTGTGATTACGATATTATTCGGTCGGATGACGATTCGGACTGACATGACGCTGAACAGTGACGACATCAGCATAAACGAGCGGTCGCGGGACTGATAAACGACCGTGATACTCTCGCAGTTTCGCATTAGAAATCATTTACCTCACGACGCAAAATACGCGAAAAACAATGTTAAATCCTTACGTCCACGGAAATCGATTGAAAGTCAGAGAAGAGATTCAAAACTAGGAAAAAAGAAAAAAAAATTCACCGGGCTGTGCGATTCACACCGAAAAGAAATTGAGGTTCACTGGGGGAAAAAAACACATTGGATCTAGAGTCCAGACTCTTGAAAACATTGACAAGAAAAAATACTCTTGATTCAATCGGATTTTTGCTTGAATCAAAACGAAATCCGCTTAAATTAAGAGGCTTGGTTCTTGATTTAAGCTAGATTCTGATTGCGAATCAAGAGTACTTTTTCTTGTCGATGATTTTAAGAGTCTAGACTCTAGATCCAATTTGTTTCTTTTTCCAGTGTTGATTTGACATTCAGGATGTGAAAACAGTGTGCTTAATAGAACTTATAAAATGGTGAATTGCTCGCTACAGTAGTTACTTTAGCGAGTGATTTCAGTAATGGTGGCGAGTAATTCAGCATTTTATAAGTTCTAGCACACTTTTTTGACATCCAGCATATTAAATTAACTTCACTTTTTTTTGGTGCAGAAGAGAACCGTTGTAAAGAGAACGTGAAAGCTTGTCCCTCGACTCTGAGCACCCGAAAACTGGCGGCGAATTAGGATGTAAGAGGGGTTGTAGCCACTTTTTGACGGTCACCACCTGCTGTGCGCACTGGTTGCAGAAAATACCACAAAAAATCCAGATCGAAACGAGTTTTCTCAAAAACAACGTATAAAGGGTCAAAGGAGCGAGGTTTCATGCGATCCTTCCGGACTGTCTTTCACACAACTTAGGAGGCCACGCAAAACATCTAGGCCTAGTTTTTAAAAACTCACTTTTGAAATTTTTAAATGAATGATCAAGCTTCTACGTTTCAAGTCGAATTCTTGGTTTATATTTGCGGATTGCACCCTATCAGCCTCAGGAAATACTATTATTAAAGTGGCCGCGGAAATATTGTATCTGAGTTTTCTATTTTTTGCGGATTTTCTTCATCAATTTTGAGTAAGCAACACGTGTAAATTCGCAATTCCGGGCTGCAATTGTGTTGTGGTTTTAGTGAAGCTCTAGCTGTATGATCCGGAGTTTCCAGGTTCGATTTCTAGCTAGGCAACCCGAGTTTGATATAGTCCTAAACAGCGGTTACCTCGTGCTGATGGGGCAGTACGGACTATGAGGGGGTTGGGGCTCTGAATGAAAGCGCAGAATTACCACTTGTGTGTGCATTTGAAGCAGTAAAAAATAAATAAATATAGGTATAAATACATTCCGGGAATGCAACTTAACCTCAACTTATGGACAATTGATTTATTTTTGCTGATTTTTACCGACTTGCCATGGTTTACTTTCCCCATAACTTGACCCGATTCATCATTTCCCTCGCGGAACGTAACTTCATTTCAATGTTGCCAAATTTTCCCTTGCAAACTGCATTTTTACAAGGAGAATCATAGGCATTTCAAACCGAAAATTTCATTGATTTTTCTTCTAAGCCCATGCAAAAGCCACAACAATTTTGAACAAAAATTGCACAGGTGCATTTTTTTTCAAAAAAAAAAAATAGAATTGCTCGAGAACATTTTACAACCTTAGAATAAAGGTACGTTCCCTCTTCCGGGAAATGACGAATTGTACGAAACGTCATAAAACTTTATTCAGCAAAGAAACTCCATAAAATTCAATTTGGCATCGCTGCACCGGGCATGACGTCAACGGATATCGCGACCAGCGATCAGACCGCCGTGCCGGGTGAGACGTCATCCAGCGGGTCGATTACGGTATCGTTCTGTAATGACCTTGATCGACGGAGCCCTATCTTAGCAATGCTATTAATCGATCGCGATCGATTCAACAATGAGCCCGCTGGCAGGCGTGGCTCAAGATGTAACGCAACTGCACGCCGCAGAACGTCGGCAATAAACAACGCCGTCCAAGCCGGCAACATCGCACCTCACGACGCTGCCAAGTCGCAGCGGATCCTCTCTCGTCCGACCCGTGGAAACAGCCAATCCTCTTGCGAGTTGACAGCGCTGTTTCGGAGTGACGTCACTGGGCTGAGCGAGGTCGCCATCGCCTGTCGCGGCCGCCCCACTCTCATCGAACCAGTGCGTCCGTACTTCTCACTCCACACTAGCGCCTGTTACAGTCTATATTCTTTATTATTTATGCAATTCTCATTAATCTAACGTGTAAAAAATAAGAAAATAAAAAGGACAGTTTTAAAACGCTCGTGATAAGCATACCGGAAAATAGCAACTCCAGCGCTACTACTTCCGAGGGTAAGTTGAAACGTTTGTTTACTCTCGAGACGCGTGGACTTCTCTTTGTGTGCACGAGGTTGTGCACACCGAAAAAGAAGCCTTCTCTGACGTCATGTGATCCACCGGAGATTGTTCATTCAACCGCGGTTGAAAACAGCGTTGCCAGATGATGCATTTCCAACCAGGATACGGAAGAAAGGCTCCTTTTTGAAAATAATGAAGTCTTTCACTATTGGTGGCGAGGGAGGGGTGAGAAGAGGTTAAGATGTGCCCACCAATGAGAAAGACGGAATTTACGGTGGATACGGTAATGCTCCTATCAGGACTCACCGTGTGATTTACTCGGTGATCCAAAAATCTCGCACCACTAGCACCAATAAATGAAGAAAAAAAGTTATTAATAATAAAAATGATTAATTAAAAAAATACTGGTGAAAAAAATACCGTCTTCTGGTAGCCCTGTAACTTTCGAAAGAATTGAGATGAAGGTTTAAAATTTTGTGAGTGTGTTTACGTCAAAGGAGACAACTTTTGAAACCCCCCTAAAATTTTGAAGGGATCACCTTCGAAAAGGAGGGAACCATTGGGTTCTTTAAGTGGCGCAAGACTTATGGATCATCCTGTATATGGACCGAAAGCGCGTCGCGCACCGTTCGAAGATTCTGACGCTTCTACATTTCCTCAGATAAAAATACGTATTTCCGGGGAGCTAGTCGATTTTCTTGGGTGAGTTTTTCAGAGAACTTTTTTCGCTACGCAATGAAGCTTGCGTATGTACCTGAACGTTCCGAAGAAAGATATTCATAATTTAGCTCAAAAAGAAATATTTGATCGAAGGAATTTTTACACGGCGTTAATGCCTACAAAGGCTACAGTCGCTGGATTTTAAGGAATGACAATTAACGTAAGAGACCGTGACCTATACTCAAAGTTCTTAGGTGCGAAGCAACTCGACCACCGTTTTCGTGTTACGGTATCACTCGGAATTGAAGGCGAATTTCACGCACCTCGAGTTATGCCGGAATCACACGCTGAATTTGACAGCTGAATATGGGAGTCAGCAGTCATCGCTCAACGGCTGAAATTTCGCAAATTCGAGTTATTTTTATCCAAATTTGTATCAAATCTATTCGAATAGTTCAGACAAATCCGACGTTATCCGATGGTCGCTGAGCCTTGTTGCTGAATTTTGCGCGCGACACACGCAAAATTCAGGCATCGGACCGATGACTTTCACATTCAAGCCACATTCAGCTCCCACATTCAGCGAGTGATTCCGATGCTAGCAAGCATTGATCTGATAAGTTGGTGCGTTAAGTTCGCCTTCAATTTCGAGTGATACTGTGCCACGCACGGGTGATCGAATAGTTGCTTCGCGCCTTTGTATGTTACGTTGCGTATAGGTCGCGTACACTTACATTATTATTCCTTAAATGTCTCACTGCCACTGATATGCCTAACGTGACTCAATAGGCGCAGGCGGTCAGAAAATTGGACTACATTTTGCAATTTGGAACTATAAATTCTAGCCCGGTTTAAAAACGACTTATATGCCATTATAGTTTCCCTATGCGCATATATAAGTGTTTTTCCAGAATTTATAGTTCCAAATTGCAAAATGCATTCCAATTATCCGTCAATAATGATTAGGTTTTCAGAGATGACACTGCAAGAAGACTGACTGTCAAACGGTAAGATGCCGCTGTTTCAAGAGGCATACCTCGTGCCATGCCTCTAAAATATATAAGAATCGTAAAAAACTCGCCTTTTTTCATTTACATATCTTGCAGATAATGATTGGTAAAAAATTGTGTGCAAATTTTATGAGAAAAATAAATTTAAAATTTCTAAGCGACTCATTATGTACCTTTTCAAAGTTTGCGAAACTCGATTTGGGATCCTCAGCTTTGCAACTAAAGTTTAAGACATGGGGCATAACATCGAACATCGGTGACTTGAAAACTTTCACCCGCTAAACTGCCTGTGTCAGGGGAATTCCATTTAATTTCAATGGTCAGTTTCGGACTGAGCACCAGTTCACAGATTAGCCACTTTTCCACACACGCTTTCCCTATGTTCCTACCAAACTTTCTTGCATTCACAAGTAAGTAATATCCACAGCAATATGATGGCGTGGGTTCCTCGCAGCTTTTCCTGGCAAATCCTTCCCCTGAGATCCCGGCTCCAAAAGTTAACAGCGAAAAAGTGTGATTTTGCATTTCTTGTCTGAGGATTGAATAACAAGACAGTCGGAGGAAGTACTCCCTACACTTTTGACTCCCACAGACAGATAATCGTCCTGTTCTTAATTTGAGGCTCTTTTAAACTTTTAACCTTTAAGATTTTAAGCCGCTTAAGGGTTTGGCACCCTATTTTTATACATACTGCCGCTTTGTATTGGTGTTACAATTTCATACCTCTTCTGTTTAGGCCTTACTAAAGACTTGAGTTTCTTTGTTTCCCACCTTTAGTGATAAAATCAATTTTCAATTTAAGTACATTAAATCATTTTTTGATTATGTATAGCTAATGAATCTCAATGATGTGGAGAGCCTTTTCAGCGAGTTGATTGAGCAATTCAATACTTCCTCTTCATTCCTTGTCTAGCACTCGAGCTATTTATTTGTTTTTAATTCCTAAATAATTTTTTCTTCTCTGTTGCAGCTCTCTTTTCTTTCATGACGTGATTCAAAATGCCGCACTGTTCTGTTCCTGGTTGTCATGAAACCTCAGGGAAGAACGAAACTAGAGAGCGCAACATCTTTTTTCACCGATTCCCGAATCCTGAGAAATCGCCTGAGAGACTCCAGCTCTGGGTTGACTACTGCTGCAGAGATAGATTTAGACCTTCAAATAACGCCAGAGTATGCTCAAAACATTTCGAGGACAGCAATTTCGACACGTCTCAGCTCTTGAAAATCAGGTTAATGCCACATGCTAACTTTCAAGGACCAAAACTTAGGCCCGGCTCATTTCCTTCCGTCCCTCCTGAAGTTTGGAGCGCTCCTTCATCGGACGAACCTTACTGTTATAGCCAAACGCCCACAGAAGAGGAGAGGAAAGAATTAGTCAATCAGTTGTTGGGTGAATCAAGCAACTCTCCTACATATGATAATACTCATTTACAACACCATGAACCAGATGACTTGGATCAGGAGGACACACACTCAATCAGTTCTCATGAATATCAAGATGACTCATATGCGTTACCTGCATCTCATTTTGTTAGGATTGAACTAATGACAGAAGAGCCTGATCCTGTTGAAAGTAAACCATCATCAGAAGAATTTAATCCCATTAATGTTGCACTGGTTTTGGATGAGGCTGATGATAGTTCTGATGGTGATAATACTAAATCAATACAGTGTGAGCTGGGGAAGGAGATCATTAGGAAATTACCAAATTCAAGGTGTTGCACCCCAGAGCCAGAAGTAAGCACAACTACACCCGAGCTTAAGGACAGAAATCAAAAGAGAAAGGCTATTTTTCAACTTTTCTCTGATTCCAACAAGACATCCACAAAACGCCCGGCCACCACTCCTGCTCGGCGCCCTGGCTTGAGATCGCAGAGGAATAAAACTTCTAAAACTGGTCTTTCTAGATGATATCTGACAATAAGTTTGCGTTTTCTCTGCTCATCTTTATAAATTAGTTGATTTAAATAGCAATTGTTCCTAATTTTTATTTCGAACAGACAATTTGATGGTTGCGTTTCAAAATATTCATTTTGTAAAAAAAAAAAAAAAAAAAAAACAAGAAACAATGTTCAGAACATATCGGTTCTGTTTGGCTGTGAAAATGTGAATCTCATTAGGTAAATAATTTTGTAAAATAAAAAATTTAAAAGAGCATATACTTTAATTTTTCTTGTTACCTAAGTTCAAAAGATAAATGTCTGTAGATAATGCCTGATGTGCACAGTCTAGACAAGAACAAGGCCATCACCCCACCACCACTTCTGCATCTGGTCACAGTAGGTTTATGATGTTGGAAGTTGCTTACAATAGATGTGAAACATCAAAAATAAACCACTTTACATACCTGCTGATACTCGGGTAACATCTTTAAAATCACTTGCGTCTCTGATAGGGGCATCTAATGGTTCGGTGCTTTTGACCCAATTCCGACTGATCTGTAAAAGACAAGAGAGGAGGGCTCCTTTAAAAATAAAACTTTTAATGCGCATCGCGGAAAAGTCTGAACATATCCTAGTAGCATTGGTTTAAAAAAGAGGTTGAAAAAAACTTGCAAATTAAACAAAAAAAAAAAAACCCCCTTAAAAAACCCTCTATAATGGAGTGAGGAGACTCTCTTCATTTTTTTATACATAGGAAAAATACCTAGTGCACTTATAAAATTTTTTGGTCACTTTATTTTAGTAAATTTTAAGAAAAAACTCACATACAGTTTTATCTTTTCATGTTGCATATTTTTCGCTTTACTTATTTTGTGTTCAGCATCTGTCGGTATGAGTGAGTTACAGGATTCAACAAAATGTTGATACCAATTTTTTTTTACGACTTTTATTTTTTTACTTTAATGGCACTCTTCCTTTAATGCTAATTTCACATAAAGTTTACCTAAAAAAGAACAGTAACAGTTCCCTAATTTGTATATTTCAACAATTTTTTTATAGTTCAAATCAAGTACCGCTTTGGATGCAGAAAATGCTTAATCATGTACCTAGGCGAATGCATGTGAATGTGGAGAGGCTTGTTCAATAGAAAGAAGGAAAATTTTCAAGGGTAAAAAGACAAAAATTAAAAGGGGAAAATAATCATAACTTTGGAAATCGAAAGAAAATTTTGTGGGAAGCCGTCAAACAGACACATGAAAATGTGGACACTTGGAAGATTCTGCATCCCTGGTCCAAAAACAGTCAATACTATTAGACTATTGTTCAATGAAACGCTCAGACAACCCTGTTGATGTAACTTACAATTTTTAAGAATAATTTTTACAGTCAGTTGAAGGTAGGTGATAGTATCTTGGTTTTCCAAGGCCCGCCCCTTTGCCAGCTTTTTGCCGATCATTTAGTTTTCATTTTTTTCACCATTTAGTGCTGATTAATTCTGTTGCCCAATAAGTGGCCTTGAAATTACTTCTATGTGATTAAGTAATAAGCATACTAAGATAGGTTGAATTTTAAGCTATCAATGCTGATATCATAAAGTTATTTTTATAAATTTAATTTCACACATTCTTTTTCACTGCTTTTGCATTTCCGGATTTTTCCCATCTTCAAAGCAACAATGCAAGTCATTGGCTAACGAAATAGTCTTTTGTGTTATTTGTAGTTGGTAATTTTCCTTGAAAAATAGGTATACACTTAGAAAATACGGTTACCTGAAAAATACGATTTTGTAGACTGGAAGGTAAATGACTGTTGTTTGAAAACTGATGGTGAACTGAGTCAGTAAGGGCTACTACAAAGACACGATTCATAAAGTCTTGCTCAAAATGTGAGATCTGAAAATAAAAGTTTGAGAAAAATGAGAACTGATAAAAGGATATGAAGCAAAGCGAAACGATTATATTCTTTTCAAAGTTTAGGGTGAACAATTGATTTTTCGTTAGCGGCTGTTCTAAGGCAAGTAAATATCCTTGGTTACCTTTCTTGAGTTCATGTGGCATGACTATGCATTTTTTACTTCTATTTAGAATAATGAAGAAAAAGAGGAAAAAATTAATTCCACAACTTACCCAAATTTAAAATTTTACATGAAACAAAACAGAATGAAACTTACTAAATTAAAAATCACAACACCACCATAACTGTGACCCACTAGAGCAATATTAGCGGCTTTGGAAGGTTGAATGTAGTCTTTCCACACTGATATTGCGTGTTCTTCTGGACTTTCACTTCCCTGAAAAATTAACCGGTTGAAATAATGGAGAGCAAAGCCACCACGGAGAGCCAAGAAGAAGAAAATCGAGAAAGTGTAAACTGCTAGAATGAACTCTTCTGAGAATTGCTTAAAATCATATCATCTTCACCAGCTGATATCTTAGGAACAGACTGTCCAAAGGCAGGTACTTCAAAGTAATATCTCATGATTATGAACTGAACCTGCTCACCAAGTTTGAATGAAATCGGTGATGGTCAGGTACTGGACCTGATCGTTTTGATGTAGAGTTATCTAATTTTTCATTTTTACTGTCTTAGAGAGAGAATGCTTCTTTTCAAGACTTCTGAGCGATTTTCAGAGTTATTTTTAGAGGTTCCAGGTATTTGCCACTGGTAAATGTCAATGTGACGAAACCACTATAGAAAAGGCTGAGAAGTTTTACAAAAATAATTACTCGAGGCAAGATGCAAAACAATCAACTACAAGTCCTAAGTTAGAAAAGTAGCTTACTACAAGCTGCTTTTTTATGACTAATTCAACGGTACACATAAGTATCGTTATGTGACAATAGCCACCTGCTCTTAGAAAGATACCTTATTTTAGAGCCTCTCTATAACATATTAAAGTCAGATTGTGAAAACTGACTTGATGGTAAGCAAAATGTAAAATTGTAAAATAATGCTTTGTAAAATAATTGGAATAATGAGAAAAAACAATGAGTCGAGGAAGAACTCATTTTTAAAGGACAAGAGCTCAAGAGGCCGTACGGTGCATCAAATAAAATAATATCAGCCAGCGCTGAATTTCTTGGTGTTCCTCAAAATGCCATTCAATTCAACGAGTGTGCCTGCCATTCTTAGTTGAGAATACAAACCTTGATGGAAGATTTCTTGCCATCCAGCACCTTCCAATTATCATTTGTATTGAAACATATGACTCCAAAACCTAATTCTTTAGCTTTCCGAATATACGGTAGCATTGATCCAGAATCAATACTTTCATTGATTATCAAACTGAAATCAAAATGAGATGGATCAGACACAGACAGGGTAGAGAGGAAATGGTAGACCAGGGGTCTAGTACGTGCGCATGCGCAATTAGACCAGTAACAATTATCTTAAATAGAGAATAGAATTTTCTTAAAACATAATTAATGTAAATTAAGTACTGAGCAAAAAGAAGGGAAATTTTCATCTGCTTTCCTCAATTCTTGAATTTTTCAGGGCAAAATAAACTCCAATAACCACTCCTATTCACAAATGATGACTGCATCATAATTCTTGAAAAGAGAAAAACTTGAGAATTGATGAAGATGGGAAGAAAGTAATCAAAAGAAAAATTCATGATTCAATATAAGAGCTGATTACCGAAGAAGAAACTTGGAAAAACAACAAAAATGTTGGTTCAAAATATTTTGGAGGTGGTGCACTCTGTTTTACTGGGAATCTGTCAAAACATTTATTAGCTCACCTTCGTGCCCATTGACCGACTCTTACAACTCCATTCCCATGAATTAATAGCATTAAATTTTCCTTCTTCAGGGCATTTTTTGTGCAGTAAATAAAACTTCCTTCTTCCTCTGCGGAATCCTTAGGAACAGGTAATTTTTGCAGCCCTTCTTTTTCCAGGAGTACGTAAATATGTTCTGTTATGAGCTGGGAAAAAAACAAGAAGAAATTCAATTGAACGTTTTCGGCAGAGCAGAGAATATAGAAAAAGTTGAAGAGAACAGACACTCTGCTTTGGTTTCATTTGATTTGATGTCATAAGAGGGGCTTGGAGGACAAGGTGCATAAGGGCAGTTTTTGAGAAAATTGAGAGGTTTTTTAATTACTTAAAAAACTGCTATCCAAAATGACTTGACCTGTCATTTTGTTGCTATGCACAGTAGGCTACATGATTGCATGGCATCTCACTTCAGTATTCTCTACCAACACCATTCAATTTTCACTTTACTATGGAATTTACTTTCATAATGTAAGCAATAAACAAAATCTCTTGCTTCTGAGCTGTTTTTGGGAACTCTTGATGTAATTAACAGCTTCTATAAGAAATTTAGACGAAGTAACGTTTCTTGTACTGCTTCAACTCTTGTTTTGTCGGGTGGTTCATTAGATTTCATATTAATACTTTAGAATTCTTCAGAGTAATTTGAAATAGATTTAAGGGTAAAATCGGTGATTTGCACAGGGGTTGATAATCTTCCGAGCTTTTCAAGAATTGCTAGTTCAGAGTTGAGCACCTTCACGGAAAAGAGATCACTTTTTTTTCAACTTTCACAATCTGCAAAATCACTATTTACCATCACAGCTCTCCACCAAAGGTCTAATTTACTTGTTTTAAACACTAACTTTTGTACGATTTTGCGAAATGGGCTGTAGACAAAATCATAATTCGCAAGGTGGAAAGCATTACTTTTATTTATATTTTACTAACGAGAGGGGGATTTAAAAAAATAATGATTAATGAAAGAGCCAGACGCTACATAGTACCTCTCCAAGAGCTTCATATCGGCGCTGATTGTATGTGTGATCAGAGCTGACATTAAAATCGTATGGAACATCTGTAAGTTTTCCTGATTGATCCATTTTCCTCAACTTGCCATCTTCATTGAAATCATATCCAAAACCACGGATTGTTGTGGGAAAACTTGTAGTTCTTCCATCACTTGTTGATTGGCCATCCATTATTGAAGTTGAAGAGTGCTCCAAGAACTATAAATTAAATCAGATTAAAACTTTTTTTTAAATCTAAATCTAAAGAATGTTTACCAATGAAAAATAGAAAAATAGAATAAGGATTAATTACTTCAATCTTCATCAAATAAATTAAGTATAAATTCAAGGGCACATGCTACAGATTTGATTTTAGAAATATTTTGATAGAGCCTGTTTCATATACGCTGATAGTTCCATTTGTAAACGGCTCACTTGTGGGCATTAACTGGTAACCAAGGATTGCACCAATAATTATACATTGCCGAAAAAACGGCCATATAATGTATACATCATGGAAGTAAATAACTAAAAACTTGTCAGATGTAGGGTCCAAATTTAGTGAACACAACTGGCTCCGACAATATACTTATGCCTCATCTGGATGAAAATATCACATTCTTGTACGTGCATTGCGTGGGAATACAAATTTAGGACAGCTCTGAAAGTCAATGATAGAGAGGGTAGGTCTTAATGCTGTTAAATATAGATCTGCAGTGAAACAAATCATGTACACTAAATATAGGTAACTTCGGCAGTCATTTAAAAGGTGCACGAAGTACAATCATTCTTTCCAAATATTCAGATTATTTTCCCATGGAATGGAATACTAATGGAAGTGAGTATTTATGTATAATTTAAGGAAGAGGCGTCAAGAATAATTCCGATTGACTGAACATTCAGGAATCAGTAAATTAGCAACACTTCCTGAACGCATGCCAAACCATGCAGTTTTAACGTCCTAAAGTGCAAGCATGAAATTTGCGCCACACATCATGCAATGATATATGGATCATTTAAGTATAATTTTCTTCTATAGATTTCAGGATTTGAAAGGTGCATGCAAACTGAGCGCTTCGTAAATTCAAACGAGGTGGGATACTACTTACCTACCTCAACCTTTCGACGATGAAAAATTTTAATCAATGGCACTCGAAGTACCAAAACATTGAAAAAGCTGACCTTCAAGATATTCTAAATCACTTACCTGAAATGATGCAACGACTAAGAGTTTCAGGGTAATCAAGCGAAAAATGTTTGGCTACAGCTTTAGAATTCACAAGCAACGCAAATTCGCCATGTTATTATTGACGTTTGTTATTGTTTACGTTCTTTCCCGCTATCATCAATTTTCAGCTGACAATCAAGGATGCACGAGTTTCGAAACAAACCCAGTTTTCCCAATTTTTCCTTGAACATCTGAGACATCTGAGGTGTCTCTAACTGTACAATTAATTTCAATCTCACAACAAAGATTTTCAGCTTGAGGGAAACAAAAATTATTTATGAATTATCGAATTGATTCTCGTTGAATTTTCATCTACATATGTACATCCTCAAAGTGTTCATAATTCATAAAGGGGAAATGTATTATTTTTTGAAGTGGTAACAGTGCAAAATTTAATCTCCCCTCCCTCCCATCGCCGGGTTGTTATCACTAAAATTGTGCGTAAACACTTCAACATATAAAATTGTTAATAGGTGTTGTTCCGTGCATTTACCGTATGTATCAATTTACTTTGTCTTGTAGTCGCGATCGCCATCAGTATCAGTCTTGTCCCGACTTTCTGTGTTTCCTCAGTGTGAGAACGTGCTTTCAAATCCTTATCAGTAGCTCTACTCAGCCAAAAAATTTACTGTTTGCTCGTACTTGATCTTCTTCATTGTCCTCGACGTTTTGGAACTTACTGTGTCACTCAACAGGAAAAAGAAAAAGTTTTGTCAATGACCATAACTTAGGGTATTCAACACCTTTTCCCAGTTGATGGAACTTGTCTCGCCATGGCAGATGACTCCAGCGCTTGGGATGACTTGATGGAATTGCCAGCCGATCCACCAGATATGCGGCTAGTCTGTCTAAATTGCAGGTGAAAGAGACGAGGCTTTACCCTCTTTTTTTTAAATTTTAATTGGTGTTACTTTTCACCCGTTGACTTTTTCGAAAATTCCCAATAAAACAGACTGATTCACTGAGCAGGAATATGAGTGAAAATTTGCTTCAATCTTCGTAAGAAATATACTTCAATATCCATTGGAATTCTCAGGATGTATATGTTTGTAGCGTCACAAAAAGACTGATGTCCTCCATCAACTCTGTGCACACCAATGATACTATCACAGGATATGAAAATCATGTTATGAAAGATCACATTTCAAGGATTCAACCATTCTCTAATATTATATTAACTGCGTCACTAGCTGCTTAAAAAAGGTCTGCTCTTGAGCATGGCATGGCTGGACAAGTAATGTGGAGGTATGGCAAGCAAGTTGACAACCGAAGTTGACATCAAAATTTGTTGAAGAAACTAAGATGTATTTCTTTTCACAGATACTTACCTATGCCACCTTTGGTTGCCAATGTGCGCTCCTGAAATGATTGATATCCATGACAGCGCCACAGCTGCTTTCACTATCTTTGCTAAATCCCAATTTTATTAAATTTGAATTTCAGAAGGTATCTCTGAAAAAATAGTAGAATAAAACAACCAACCAATCCGCCACTGAAATTACCCTTTGTCCAGAACTCTTAAGACCAATATGTGCTAATTATTGAGAACCACCCTTGCTCCAACGTTCTCCTTATTCCACAAACTCAATGAAATTCAAATTCCTACGTACTTAAATAACTTTCCATGTGACCCAAAACCATCAATTGTGGTTATAGTAACAACAAGAATAAATTACTTAATAACACTTTTTCTTTCATATGTTTCAGTCGACCTCAGTCTGTATGCTGGTGCCCTTTCTTACCTGTTTCTCCACTAAACCCAAACTGTCGTGTCGTTCTCCTTCAGCACCCTGCGGAAGAAAAGCGCTCAGTTCGAACAGCACCAATTCTTTCTTTGGCCCTAGCACCTGGAAAATGTTTAATTTTCAAAGGAAAAAAGTTTCCGCATGCAAGGTTGGTTTCCTTTCTATTATTTTCCCCTTCCCTCTCCAAGTCTCCGGATAACTATACTTACAGATCTGCTAAATCTCAATTTTTCAGAACTTATGTAAAATTCAAGGAGGCTGAAAAGTTTTCTCAAGGATGCAGAAAATGCTGAATTCCAAGATTCCTGAATCATGTCAAATCAGAGAAGAGTTTATGAAATGCAGGAAAAATCATACTCTCAAAAAGAATCTGAAATCTGAAACTTATCAGATTGTAAACCTACAAATCAGCCACCCTTATTCATTAGAACTCTAGTTTTCCTTTTCTTTCAGTTTCGAAAATACTTGAGTCAGTGATGCCAAGGAGGTTTTCCTTTAAGGCGCATATTTAACTGATTTCATAGTAAGCCAGCAACCAAGAATTGTATTTTGCTCAAAAGAGCCGAGTTTTCTCTAAGTAATAAACTGTTTCCATAATATGAAACAAAACATTCACAAACCTCTTTTACAATTAAATCGATGTATGCGAAAATGTCCGTTGTCCAATACAGCGTTTCATAATTGCCGTGGGTTTTTTTGTCCCACGACACTGATGACTAGGATCGATCTCTTTTGTAAATTTTTAATTATACTTAGAGGATTATTTATAAAATTGTTCTACACTCCTAACGTCTTTAACCATCCTGTGTCGTTAAGTTACAACAAAATTGTCCACTCAAATTCTGAAACACTGTCTTGGACATCGGACGTTTTTGCATATATCAATTTAATTATTAGAGTGTTTTGCACAGCAAGATACTTTGTACAGTGCAAGACCAAAATGAGAGTTTTTCTGTTTTGAGTGTTTCTGTAATCTATTTTTTTTTTTATTTGTAAATTACCTATTGACATTATTTTTTCTGCTCGCTTTTTAACTCATCAATTTTTCCCAGACATGAAGGTTTAGCTGACATTTTGGCATCACCCAACGCCATTTTACTCTACCCATCTTCCACATCTGTCAGTATTGAAACTCTAGATTTAGTGTCACAGGATTCCGAGAAATTCTATGATCTCGTGTTAATTGATGGAACCTGGCCTCAGGCCAAAACTATATTCAATAACTCTCCTATTCTCCGTAACATGAAACAAGTAAGTATGATTTAGTAGGTTGCTTTAATTATATCTATATTATTACTAAAAGGGAGAAATTTCAGTGAAATTTATCAGGGAAACATCTGGCAAAACATGATATGATACCATGGTTCACTGGGGAATTTATTTTTCATTCATTAAAGTACCTATGCAGTTTGAAAAATGTACCCTGGAGAAAAGCTATTTAAAACTGCAATCTTCCATTTTCATGATACAAAAGTACCAGATAGTGTCATAGTTTTAAGCCCTAAAGTGGCACAAAAGTTCTCTTGAACACTCCCAGTTTTTTCTGAAAGATATTCTTCTTTTAAAATTTTCCACTGAGATCTCAAAATCTGATTTCTTATTCCAACTTCACAAAAATAATTTTATTGATAATCTTGCCTCCATGGTCTGAGGACCTATTTCCTGTTGACGGTCAAATGTACATTAATTTTAGGCCCGAATGTTTTAATTTTTGTCATACATATTTGGACATTATCTGTTGTTTGTTGGTCTGATTCAAATTTCTGAGGTGACAAAAGGTTATTTAATTTACTTGTTATTTTCAGGTTACTCTGATAAATCATGAAGGAAGTCGGTTTGTGATCAGAACACAGCCGACAGATAAATGTCTCTCTACTCTGGAAACAGCAGCCAAAGCATTGGCTCTCCTGGAAAACTGTCAAGAAATCCAAGAAATTTTACTGAAACCCTTGAACGCAATGTGTGATTTCCAACTAAATCATGGGGCCGTCACTCACCACAGTAAGGAATTTTGCATTCAAAACCAGATATATCCAAAACTGGTTGGCAAAAGACTCAGTAAATTAATGAGGAACGCATGCAAAGATAATAATTGAGTGAAGAAAAACTGAAACCAGTAAAAACTGAGGTCCTCTTTAATTTTTAGAGTTAAGCAAGCACATACGTGTTATTTTCTGACTATATGCCGGTTCTGTTTTTACTCCAAGTTCTCTTTTCTCCCTTTTTGTTCCATGTAAGTAATACCTTATTGTATTACTTATCATGTATTAACATACATGAACAACTTTTTTCGACTTTCCTTTTAAATAAAAATATATTGTAAACTGAATGAGATCCTTAGTTATGGAGGGGAAAAAGGCTTGTCTGATTTGTATTATTTTTCATTGAGAGGAGCAATTCATTTATTTTTATTTATTGTATTACATTTATTGTAATGTTGTATATAGAAGAGGAAAGAAATGTTTATATTGATTGTTAATTTATTAACTTAACAATAAAAATTGAGTTAATTACACAAATATAATTTTCTGTTTGACATGTTTCACTTTTCCAAAAAAAAGAAGAGAAAAGAAAAGAAAAAGAAAAAAAAAAGTCTCTCCAAAACTCTGTGGTAGGTATGTAGAAAATATGGTAACAGTACAAATAAAATACCTTTCTCAAAGCTGATCGATACCTTTCTTCTCAAGTATTCAGCTGTTAAGTCCAAACTGATCTAGAATATGTATAACCATCGAGTTTTGCTCTATTGACTTTGAACTTTGAATTTGCTGAATGCAAAATTATTCCATTTATTAGACACCTCTCCCCCCTTCTTTGATTATTGACTCTGTGCCTTGAATCTACAAAGAGTCGAGACGATCAGAGATCTGGGTGTTATTTTTTACTCTAATTTCTCCTTTTCTGGCCACACTGGTTTTGCCGATGGTAAATTTTCCAAAATTTTTGACTTTATTGAAAAAGTTAACTAACTGGCCACATTCTGAAGAACAGAAGAAAACTGTAGCAAGGCTAAGTGGCATTTTATGATAACAAATATCAGGATATCTGGGTCTTCTTTTCTATTTGATCTGTTCCTTCAGTCTTTCAGTGATTTGATCACAGTGATTTGATTTAATGGCCAGTTGTCTTATGCGGAATTGTCCACCATCTTTCTTCATTGCAAAGGAAGGTTCACAGAGAGCTCCATTCAAGATACAGATTCCTTATTTGGTACATTCATATGCTGTAAAATATAGTCTACTGCTTCCTTAAAGCTTGGGAGGACTTGAAAAGCTGGTGGCGAAATTTTTTCCTCATCTCCTGGCCGATATTTACCAGTCTTTACCAGGATGCCTTTCATCCCCAGTTTTTGGGCTCCTTCGATGTCATCAATCACATCCTGGAAAAGAAACAGGTGAGAAAAAATACATATTTTATCTTAGGTTGTTTGCATTGAATACTTCAATGATATGATGCCAAAGTAAAAGCACGGAGCGCATATTGTGACTTCAATGTATGATGTTTACAAGGCCGTTCATAAATTACATTCTGTTTTGAACCCTCTCCCTCGCTTGATCATGCGTTCATCATGAAAGTCTGAAGCTTTGGAGAAAATTACATATGTCTTGCTATCCTGAACCTCCCTCTCCTCAAGGGTAGAAAATATTCAGAGATCCATTCTAGGTGATTAATTCTTTGCCAAGACCAGTGTTTCAATCTACCAAGAAGTTCGGGGACCAGTTTGGTCAGCTTGATCAATATTCAGGGGCCAAAATGGTACTTTTTTAAAACATTTATGATGGGAACCAGACGAATTTTGACACCTGCAAATCAGACTTCTCCTAACTGATTTCATATTCTTAGATCCTCTTTTCACCTAGCTGGATCCTCTTCGAGGGGTCCTTAGTAGATGTTAGTATCATAGCACGTAGAAAATTTGAATTGATCAAAATTGCAAATTTTTCTCTTGTGCACCGAATTTGGAAATTTCCATTATGTTTCCCATGTTTCACGAGAGCAATCTTGATGAGAGCACAAACGATGCTTGGTTTCCAACATTATCTGGTGGTTCATCGGTGTGACATACGAAAGAAAGTACAACTTACGTCTCCAATCATAACTGCTGCTGCTGGATCAATCTCTCCAAGCGCTGCTTTGAAGAAGTCAACGGATGGTTTGCCAACAGTATCTGCTTTGCAAGTTGCAGCATACTCTAGTCCTTTGACAAACATTCCAGGCCCCAACGCTAAACCATCAGGTCTTTTGAAATATCGTGCTTGGTGAATTGCAATCAACTTTGCTCCAGAGAGTAAAAGCCTGTGAGTTGAAAACCTTCAAGTAATTACATAAGGCAAAACATAAATCTACCCAATTTGTATAATTTTTTAGGTCTGAAAATTTCCCAAAAATACATGAGACTGCTGAGAAAGACCAAAACATTTTAGCCTATCTTCATGAGAAAAATTATATTCTGTTCAACATAACAGTGGCAATTGTAGTGTGATGATAAAGAAAAAAAACATCTGTGTTGCAATGAACTGCTTGTGTTTTAGATGTTTTTTTTTTGGCATGCTACAAACAGAATGAAATTGAGGAGTCTTCAGCAGATTTTCAATTTGACTGTCCATTCCTACATATGTGTTAAATTTTACACTAGCTGTGGGGTGACTTCATGGTTTCAATATGGTAATTTTTACCCTACAGTTGTGCATTCAGCCCTTTTTTGCAAGGAGAGCTCAATTAAACGGTGGTGGACTATCTAATAAGTCTATCACCTCCATAAAAAAACTTAATTTTATGAGCCTTTTGTGTCACTTAGAAGCTGATTTAGATTTTAGTATCATTTTTCTTGCACAAGTTTGGTATGCAGTACCTAGTTCGAAAATCCTCTCCATATGGGACAAATCCATTCATTCCTCACATCAGTTGATTCAAAAACTTAACTCAGTCAGTAAGAAGGTGAGGAGGCAGTTTTTTTTTTCTTCAAAATTGCTTACATCTTGAAGAAGGGGGAAAAGTATACCTAAAAGCTTTGTTCAAATTTTCGTAGTGAAACTGATCAGGAGCTAGTCCAACAACAACAGCATTATGGTCCGATGTGACATTTAGATGAGTCCGGAAATCTTCTTCTGCCGCTTTGTCGATGATCAAGAATGGTCGTAGGTTTTGGGACGTAACCAAGTCATTTGCAGCCCATAATGAACTCCAAATTTCATTCACATCAAGTTCAAAACCCAAAGAGGTGAGCCGTTCATGAAGAATCCGCCGACACTCTTTGGTCGTGTTGGTGACAAATTTTACTCTCAAATTTGCTCCTCGCAATCTAAAAAATGGAAGAACAAGAAATGAATGAGTGCTTATGTGGCTTTCTCAAACAAATTAAAGTACCCCTACCAACTACTCAACATCACTAGTCATTTTTTCACATTTGTGACAAATATATTATTCATTGACTTCTGGACTTTGAAGACATGACTTTGACATGTCTCCTAAGAAAAAAATAGGAGAAAAACTATTGAAAGGATACCTCCTGTTCCATGAAGGTACTTAAAATCATTCATACACCACCTTAAAAAAACCACCTGATCAAAGGTTTTAAAGATTGTTAGATACCTGTTTTAGTGATAAAAGATCAAATTACTGATTTGACCCGTTCTCAAAATACAGGAGGCTCATGTAATTTGGCAATTAATAGCAAATTTTGCAAGGAACTTTAAAGCAATTTACTTAAGCGAAAAATTAATAATATGCAAAAGTCTGAAATGTTCTTACTTTTTCAAAGCTTCCACCGCTCCTGGAATGGCTTCATTGTCAACATGAAGAGTACCACTTAAATCAATGAGGACTGCTTTTAACTTTGACATACTTGGAAAGTGTACTTATCGATGAATTCAGATCCTGTAGAAAACCCAAACACTTGATTCACTAAAAAGAATGATTACAGCAGACTTGAATAAGATGACAAGTAATTGGGACGATAAAGTTTACCTGCAATGTAGTTATGACCAGAGGGGTTACTGACAAACAGTGATGTTTTCAACTGACTGCGTCATTTAAAAACTGCGGTACTTAATGCTAACATTTGGACCATTGAATCTGTCTGCACTGATGGCAGCGCAGCTACAGTATCTGTGCTAATTAATTAATTTTGTTATAATGATGCGGAGAAGACAGAGCAAACATGAGTAGAGAAAGTTGATAAGAATCAAGCAGAAATTAGTCCCTCAACCCTCGTTAGCGTTAGACCCATTGATCTCGGATCTCATGTAGAGGAATAACTATACACATTTCGTCTTTAAAATTAAACACGTTGACTTACCGGCGTATGAACACAAAAATTTTGCATAATAGTAACTTACTGAACTCACCGGATTTGAATTGAAAATATCAACTCAAGAAAAAAGGTCAAGGCACGGCATGGAGTTTGTTTACATTGAAAGCTAACCTCAAAAAAACTCGTGACGTTTGGTTTGTTGACAAGAAGTGTGTTTGTGATAAGAAGACAGTGCCAGTTTTGAAGCATTGAAGTGAAGGAAGGATGGGAGCCGAATGAATTTTTATTAATTTTTATGGGACAGGATGCTAGTTTCATAGAAGGAATAGATGTACTCATGCCAATTAAGATAGTTTGAAGTCATTTAACAGTTTTCACATGTGAATTATGTTCCCCTTAAGCTAAGCCGTATTATGTATGGTAATGACCATCTACTCATTTTGCATTGAATTTTTCCATCTTTCCCTTTTTGGGGGTCTATTTAGTGATAAACGACCCTATGGCTCCCAACATTTAAATGATTGGTCTATCCTGGATTCAATACTATGAAGTTCGGCGCCCTAATGAAAGACATTGGCGCAATGCGCAGATTCTATGGTAAGTAACTTCACCAATTTATTTATTTTAATGACACATCTACAATATATCAATTTTAGCCCTGTTTCCCACCATGAGCATAGCTCGAGGTAAGTGGCAGATATGGTCTAATCTCTCTTTTGGTGAATTTTTATTTATTAAGTAGCTAACAAATGCCGTAAATCGGGATAACACCAAAACTTATTTTGTAGTATTAGACTTCAAATTTTTAGATCCAACGCTGAACAAGGTTTTGCACTTTTGGAATGCATTACTTAGAAGACCAGCTGTCTTCAGTTTAGAATCGAAAGTCCATAAAAGAATCAAGTTTGCAGGTCTTCTTTGGCATTCTTAAAGTATGTAAGCTGATATGGTTTGTAACATAGCAAATGCACAATGTTGAAAGAAATGCATACTAGGACTGTGTAACAAACATATCATGTACCATATCTGTAATAGCTTAGTCTGCCAAATATGGCATTTAAGTCCATATCAAGTAATAGGTACTGTCAGCAGCGTTAGACTTGTGCACTGAGAGAACTGCCAAGGCAAAAAATTAATGAGAATAATGAAAAGCATGGCAGATTTAACAAGCTTGTAGATGATATCAGGATATTGTCACAAGTTAAATATAAAATGATTCAACACATTTTTACTTCACACATTTCGAGACCTGACAGCATGCCCTAGTAAGAATGATGAATAAATCAGTGTCATAAGTACTTACTTAATGCCAGCAAAGCAGTCGAAGTTTCTACTAATTTCAACTGACTTCAGAAATTAATTTACCACTAACCAGAATTCCAATGCATACATTGGTTGCAAAATTGCTGAAAGTTATAGCTACAAATAAATAAAAGGCACCATTTCCAAGGGGCTCTCATATCATGAACTGCCACTAATTTTAAGTCTCATGATGTAAAATTGCAGAAAATATGAGGTGTGTTTTCAAACCAAACTCCAAGGAACTGTCAGCAGACGCAGAATTACTCTATATCATTGTTCTCCTCTAATTTACCCATTTATACTAAGTAACTTAAACTTAGGTTACTTAACTACTTAACTACTAACTTACTTAGGTAAACTTAAGGTTAAACTTAGATGAGCACCTAAGTTCTCTTACCAGAAGATGGTTTATTTTACGGATGTTTCTCCTTTTTGTTTTGTTACAGGAATTTTAAGTCTCCTCGCTAAACTTACAAAGCGGTGTGTTCTAAGAATAACACGCGACCACTTTTATTTCATTATTCAGTCAGAAAACTGGTCTGTTACTCAGCATCTTCTGGTCTGGGCATATATTGAACAAAACAAATTTTTTGATGTCTATAATTTAACTGGCGTTTCAATGCATACAACTGATACTGGTGAAGTCCTCAAAGACGAGATCATGCTAGAAATAGTACCAGGTAAGTAATGAAATAATATTTTATTGAATTGAATGAAGTTTTCTCTTAACTAAATTTTTATTGTAAACTTTATTCAGGTAACGCAGGAGTATAGTTAATCCACTCACCCTATAGTTGAGCTATGAATTCTAGTCAGCGTCTTTTTGTTACATACAATAACACTGTTGGACTGCGTTTGAAAAAACTGAGTGTCTAGTAACAAAATAATCTTTAGAGGTCTTGACTACTTTAAAATTATTGATAACACTGAAAGTTTCCAAATGCTAGAAGATTTATTTTCCAGGTTGATTGCAGTATGAAAAAGCACCCAAAGGTTATGGAATTTTGGAGACTATCATTTTTCACGAATTCTCTGTTTCAGATATGATGGTGGGGTCTTTGAAATGTTTAAAACCAGCATCATCCAAAAGCATAGCTCAAATTAAATCTTTAAAAATCAAGCTAACAGATAAACTCTCTCCTTGTCTCACTTTCAATGTGGAAATGGTTTGTACACTCTCATTGTTTGACTTTTTAAAATCAATTTTGCCGCTCTCAGATTATTGTGCTTTAAGCTCCACTTCATTGTTTTGTTTTAGAAAGGAGAGAACTCAACTATTTAGACATAAAATGCAACTTTTATCATTCCAAGATTTTTATTTAAAAATCTTATACTCATTCATTTTAATCCCTGGATTTGACTGTTTGCTGTTCAAAACAGTATGCCCAATGTTCAATGTTTCTTCAACCCCTACCCTCTGGGGGGCTGGATAAGAAAGTTACAATTTCTTAAGTTCTCTAGTTTCCCTCTACGGAAGCAGAAAAGGCGAAAAGATTTCTGTCCGTGCTCTGTTCTGAGGTATAGGATTTACATAAATCCTCTTTTCCTCCCTATTTTGAAAACCTGGCTGGCTGACTATTAGTTAGGTGGTCAAAAAGCTTCTGCATCCCAGGTCTTTAGTGTCGGTTTGAAGCCGTAATGTATTTAACTATCTTTGAATAAAAAGGGCAAAAATAGCATTATAAGCATAAGCATAGCTACGATTGGCCATTTTTAGCAAGTCCTAAGCAAAATATTATAAACTCTATGTTCTTAACAACTATATCCTGGTTGAATGTGGACTAATTTCTTTGTTCTCAGAGCTCAGCTGCAAATAAATTTGTGCCCGACCACGTGATGCATGATGTTCCTGTGACTGTTATACCAAGGAAAGACTGGGACTATTATTGTAAACCTCCTCCTCAAATCAATTCTGATGTGAGTCCTTTTATCATTGGGCAACTTTTTTTTTTACATTTTGTTCATCGAATGCAACCCGTGGCAGCAGATTTAAAAGTGATGACTTTCTTTTTTACATTTGAAATCTAGAGGAGGCAAAATTATAAATCTTGCCCTGATTTTGCCGGGGATCTAAAATCCCAGATCACTCCAGGCATGTACCATTATCTAACGTCATAGTGTCACTATATCACCTATGTTATGTACCTCTATTGAGATATTAGACAGAATTAATATTATGTGTAGTTTTTATATGATACTTAAATTAAGTTTAAAGAAACAAAGAAACTCTTTTAGCACTAGCAGCATGTTCCACCAGCAACTCAATTTAATAGCAGATGTAATATTTGTCTTCCAGGTAGTGTTTGAAATGCTGAACATAAAAGTATTCAGGATAATAGTGGAGAAAATGAAGAAATTAAGTTCATCTGTAAGGGTTACTGTGAAATCAGACAGTTCACTAATGCTACACGTAGAAAAGATTGATGTCAGTGTCAAAACATACTTTCAAGACATACATTTAATTAAACAGCCAGGTAAATCATCCACTTAATTTTTAATATCGATATGTGCTTTCATTTTCTGTCTCTCATTGTTGATAGCTGTTCGCAAGGAAAGAATGTTTGATAATTAAAACTACATTCGCGCAGATTTTGGCACCAACAAATTGGGTGGTTCCACCAGTGAGAGGTACGTTCAGTCAAAAAGAGATGTGATTAAATCAATGATACCTCCGACCAGTACAATCTCATTTCATTGTGGTTCAACCACGAAATTTAACTACCTCTCTTACATTTAAAATCTTTTTTCTGAACTTTGAATTATCGAAAGGAGAAAACTTACGACTAGTTGATTTCAAAAGTACCCCTAACTTCTTCCGACTAACTTCCCCCAATATGTGACAGTGGATTTCTGTCAACTTGAACCATTGCATGTCTTCATTGTTAAAAATTTCCTAGTTTTATGAGTTTCCATGAATGTTGTGTAGTATTATATGAAATTTAAATGTTACAGATGATGGTAATTTCGAAATTTCAGTTCTGGTCGACACAAAGAGATTGTCTCATTTTCTTACCTCTGATAGTTCTGTGCAACCACATCAAGTTCGCTGTAGTGTAAAAAATGGAGAACTGTTACACCAATCTATAAAAGATGAAGGCTTTGCTTTCAATTATTATCTGCCTGCCCTTGCTGATTCCTGATTAATGTATCTAATCTTTTGCTCCTCTCTTCAATTTTTCCAAAACTCTGCCCTTTTTTCCATTTAATTAAGTTTTGTAAGTAATTTGTAGTAACAGTCATTGATAGTTGTATAGTTCCTCTATTTTTTTAATACTAGGATTGGTTATTATTAAAAGAAAAAAAGACCTATGTACAGACTTGATGTCTTCTGATTTTTTTCAAACCTTTTCAATATTCTCCTAAATGTCTCCCACAAACAGGAATGTAGCTATTCTATACCCTCTCACATATTTACGGCTGTGCAAAACCACTTATCTCCGTTTGTGACGTTGCCGACTCCTTGTCATAAGTACTTTATTTTTACTTTGGAAAACTGGTTAACATAATTTTTTGAAAACTTCCTTGATTTTTCCTCTCAGCAGAATATTCCGTATGAATTTCAAAATAGAAAATTTGTTTGTTTCTCTTCAAAAAAATAAAAAAGGAGTGGCAATTTCAAAACATATAGTAATGGAGATGTGTGATTTCGCACTGTGACCATCAATATGAGTCCTAGGTTAGGGTTTTTATGCCTCCTCTGACATAATTTTTTAAAATACCTTAAAAATGCTGTAAGGAATTTTTAAAGTAAATTATCAATGTCTAAACTGAAAATTGCATCTCTCAAATGCAGTATTTCAAAATTTCCGATTAGGTACCTTTGTATATGTTTCATTCTTCTAAATCTTGAATATTGAGCATAGTAATTCCTTGAAATTTTCTGTGAATATTTTTAAATGAGTAAACAAGATTCACAGAATATTTCAAGGAAAGATGTTTGCCAGGTTACCTACTTTTAAAAAAATAGATTTTGAGCAGAGATTTGCAACGTTCAGGTTGGATTTTCAAATTTTTTTACTTTAGTAATTGATATTAAAAGCATTTTTGTTGGAAATGGGGAAAGAGGAAGTTTAAAGAAGCGGCTGAATATTTCAATGTAACAACTGGCTGTTGTAAAAATTAGGTAAGTAAACAGGTAGGTATTAGGTGGTTAGGTAATTCATTGATGACCAAAATGCATACCTCTGTTCGCAACGTTACAGACTTCCTGTCATACTTCAGTTTTTCCTCGGAAAATTAATCGTCATGTTTTCCCGAAAACTTCCTTGATTTTTCTTCTCTATAAGCAGAATATCGGCTCTAAATTTCAAACTAAAAAGGTGGCTTGTTTTTTCAGAAAAAGATTAAATGAGAGCTGAAATTTTTGAAACATAATAAAATGGACCTATTCATTTTTCGACTTTAGCCATGAATATGAATTTTGTCTGAGGAAATTATTCTACATCACAATCAAAAAATTTAAAAATAAATATTTAATTCAACTCTCGAATAACCCATTAGGTACTAAAAATTATAGAGGTGTAAAATTGTGATTTTTAAAACCTCAAAAATTATCCGATCTCATTCAAATTTTACTGCAAAATGTTTCATAATGCTCACCTATGACGATTTCAAAATCTCCCGCCACCGACATGCGTCAATTCGTAAATTCGAATATTTTCCATTTTTCCCGCCAACTTTTGAAATTAGTCCGTTACATGTTTTTGAGGTTAATCGTTGTTGTTTTCAGTTTCCTCGACTCAAGTTACAGGATTTTGGAAATTTCGTGTGTTTATATCTAATTGTTCGAGCATTTTTTACTTTTCAGTGTTAGTGTACATCATATAAATTTACTAATTAAGTTTCTTATGAACTGATATTTATTAGTAATGTAAATCCTTCTTGTATGGAATTTCAAGATTCACTCCTGTGGACTGTGGATTTGCCTCCATCAGGTAACAATGAGCTTATTGTCCCTGCATTATCGGTTTTTTTCTTTTATTCCAGTAGAGCCAAGAGTCTTACTTTGTGGTATTTTGATAAATCACTAATGAAGGAATTAGAACTGATAATTTCACTGTTTTTACTCATGGCACCAGTCTGTGTTTGTGCCGTTAGTGGTTGCTTTGTTTGCGCTGTCAATTCAAGCAGCAGTCAAGCTGCCCATGAGTATGTTTGTGACTGGACTTTATCATCAAGATCTTGTTGATCTTGTTGCCTAACGGTGGGTAGAGGGCATCCGTGAAGAGATGGACAGATGCTAGCTTCCGGAGGATCTCTACCATGACAGATTCCTGTGGAGAGTAGGCGTCGCAGAGCGCCCTAGCGCATCGTAAAAGCGGCTCATACATACATACATCTTGTTGCCTTAAAAGTCTAATAAAGTATTTAAGAACCAAGTTACTATACAAAGTGTTGTTTGAAACTCACCACCAAGTCACATCAAGTATGTTTACTTTTCAGTTTCTGTAGATGGATGTGCATTAGCTGCGAACACACATCGAAGCAGCCAACAAAGTTGGCTGAAATTCTTACTGGCTCATCTGTTAGCTCTCAGAAAAAAAAAAAACAAAAGCATGGTGTCCATAAGCACAATCCACCAATCTGCTCCATCCTAGACACATCAGTCAAATTAATTTAAGATGCATAACTGTTAGTCTTGACAGGTTATCAATGTCTCAATTTTGCTACCAATTGTTACTCAGACTTATGGACTTACCGTTTAATGTTCAGTTCAACCCCTGTACGTAACAGAACAGTTCAAACCATTCTCGGAGATACTCCAGGAAAATTGAAATGTTTGGCATTCATCTGAAAACATGCGATTCAAGTATGTTATAATTCTGTCCGAGTAGAATAACGCCAAAGTAGGTAGACCATACTAAATCTGAGCAGAGTACCTCAAATCTTTGTGGTAGAAAATACTGTGATAATCATAAGCATTTTGGCTGCCCTCTTGCAAGGATATCAAAGAACCTGCCAGTGTTTCTATTGGTTTAAAAATAAATGGGTACTTATTCTTTGCCAGTGTTTAATTCTTGTATGCCCTTGTTAAAGGTTGCAGAATCTTGGAATGCTTTGTACGTAATAAGTATGCTCAAGTATCTACCGGAGATTCTTGATGCCTGTATAACTTTGATTGTCTACTGTGGTTGCATGTCAACTTTAAAGTGCCCTCACCAAAGTTAAGTCACTCATGTAAAATTTCAGATCAGTCCATCCAACTTGGTACTTTTAACCATGCATTATCGATAAAAACCATTTGTCTGATTATTTAATATTTTACCTCAGCATTTCATGATTTTTATCAGGTTCAAAGACAATGCCGGAAGCCTGAAGACAATTTTTTGGCACCTATCTGGATAAGAGCTGGTTGGAAGTTGATAACTTAATATAAGAACATAGTTGGAGACCTTACGCCTTCCCTGGTTGGAGACCATCCCAATCAAGACTATCAACAGATGGCAGAAAAAGTGCATGGACTTCAATATTAGGTATTGAAATATTCTCTCATTCTAATCTTAAAAGCAGTAAGTCAACCACAGTGTCCCAACTAATTCTCAGGTCTAGTTTATATACATATTGATGACTTAAATGCAAAACCTTGCACCTCCGTTTGCGGCATTGCAGACTTCCTGTCATAAGTAATTATTTCTTTGAGAAACTTGTCAATGTAATTTCTTGAAAATTTTTCTATCTAATAATTCTTCTCTGTCAGCAAAATATTCTATAAACATTTCAAGCCATGACATAGGCTCAGAAAAATTAAATAAGAGCTGATAGTTTGAAACAATGAAATGGAGTTTCGGGGTTTTGTACTTTGGCCATCAACGTATCTAAGCTTCTTCTTCAGCGTACGAGGGCGCTCTATACCGTACCGAGGGCTGCTCTCTTAGCATTTGAACCTATCCTCCTCCAGATCATCAGATGAATGATACCTTCTAATCTCTTCTTCCACTCCCTGCCTTCAACCTTTTACAGGATGCCCACACTGCCTTCTTCTGAAAGAACACTGAGAGCAACCTAATCGAATACTTGTTCAGGGAACCGACCATCCACCATCCTTTGCTCATGTCCTCACTAAATCAATTTACTTACGTACCCAGTTGTTGATCATTTTTTTCTTCCTTTTTTTTGAGGCACAATTTTCATCCAGCATAAATTTTGAGACTTTTACCTTTACACAGCAATTTCAAGATCAACCTGTAAAGATCAATGATACTACATCAAATTGATGAATAGGTTAAATAACCGTTTGCGTGAATTGTCATAAACCTGTGGGAAGATAGTGTTTGATCCAGCTCTTCAAGCTAATTAGCTTGGGAGGCATAGCGTAGCTCTTATAAATGATCACTCTCAAACTTAATGTGATACACCTTACTGCAAAACTAAATTCAAAAATGAACTCTCAGAAACGGCAAAAATCCTAAAAAAACACAATACTCAACCGCACAACTAGACAGGATCACCCGAGCGCTCAGGGTGTCAGACCACAACAACGTAAACCTAAAATAAGCGCTTAGTGGACTGCCCAGAACCAGAGCTGAAGCCAGCGGAACTTTTCTCTGACCCCGAAAAGCTGGCCCTGAGACATCGCGAACGCATAAAAATTCGCCTTGAAAACCATGTCCACCGACTTCTCTTCCTATGCCAAGATTGCAAACATGCACTAAATACAAAAAACACACACGATTTCCCAGAAATTGTGTGTGTTACATTGTAGTATTACCAAAAATGAATATCCTCTAAGTAACAGATAAGAATGATACTGAGAAAGAAAAATTTCAGATTTATTGCACAGCTCTCATTAGAATACACTTTGTGTTCCTGCGTTCTCGGCTTTTAATGAGGACGCAATTTTGCATTTAAAATACTTTTCTTCCAAATGTGATCTGATTCTAAGACAAGTCATGACGCTTTTTCTCTAGGTATGAAGGAAACAGTCTAATCATGGAAACGAACTTTAAACCCCAGGATGGAAATTTATCAGACCAGGAGACAGATGAGCAATCCTCCACAACAGGCGACTCCTCGGGACTCTATGCATATTATCCCAGCATAGATTTTCCTTATAGCACACGAAAATTCAAAAGGTAAGCATCCAACTTATTTGCATCAACCCAGTGGTAGTCTGCAGACAGGTAGCAAGTCTTGTCAATCCCATGTTTCTGCAACCCCGATAGTCTTATAAATCCTGGTGCTTTCAGCATTGCCTTGTCTATATTTTGGGATGTCAACTATCAGTCTAGTCTCTGCAGTTCTTTAATGAGTGTATAAACTCTACTTTTCCTACGCCTTATGTGATGGGGCTTAGCAAAGTGTCCTTTGTTCTCTATCCGGATGTTTTGACAGTTTTTAGATTTGTAAGATATAATCCCAGTGCCATGGAAACACTGAATCGTTTGTTTCATTTTGTCAAAGTTTGACATCTCTCCTCATGTTTTTTTATCTTTTGTTTAAGGCAGATTAAGCCAAAGTGAAAAAAACTCTTAAGTGTTTTTGCGGTGTCTTTCAAGTGCGTGCTTCATATTTCTGGCTGTCCTGTCATGACATCTTTTTTCATTTGTGAACTTTCCCCATAAAAGGAACTTTAATGTCAATAAACTATTTCTGTGGGGGTATGTCAAACAGACATTTTGGCATCAAAAATACTTGAAAACGTTAGGTAAACTAAACTGGAGTTAAGCATGATGGTTTGAGGCTTGCTGTCTGAAGAAAGTTGTGATTTTACAGAAAAACTGATCAAAATGTTTTATCTTCATAACAATGTCACCTTAAAATGGCGTTTTATGTTCTCTTTTGGCTCAGAAAAAAAAAATAAACCGCTCTTGAGTTATTGTCATGTGGTATATCAGAAAAGTTCCATTAAGGTTCCTTTACTTACAGATGGTCACTCTATGTTTCTGGAATTATTTCAAACTGATAATTCATTGACTACTGTTACAATTTTAATTTTTCAGTTTGCTATGTGCTAAAATGAATAACATTTCGGAAAATATAAGATTTCATGCCATCCTACTCACAAAGTTTTCAATTAAATAGTCGCGAGAAAGATATGTCATCAGTAAAGTGTCAGTATGAATGAACCCTCTTATTAAAATGCAGCTTATTGATAAATTAATGTCAGATTTAATGGTCTTTTTTATCAGGGAATGGCAGTAACTTAATTCTAATTTACTTTCAATTCTGTTTTACTTTTTTCAGTCGTTTGGGTAAGAGAAGACACACGATAAATCCATTTCGAATCTCCACTGATGTGGTGGAACCACAAAACGAAAAAAATAGCTCGGGCAATAATTCAAGAGAAGACAGTAGCAGTCTTTCAATCTCTCGTGACCTGAACCTAATGGAAAAGCAACAAACGAAACCAGCAGAATTTGAAGATTCTCTGTACACCCCTGTTGTGAGGGTGGAACAGAAGTTCTCAAATCTGTACCTCAGTGGAAACAATCAGCCGTGGAGCCAATCAAAAGAGCCATTGAAACAAACATCTACCAACATTTTTAGAGGGAACACAACGACCCTGAACAGTCAACCACCTCATCAGCCTTCTCAAGGAAAAAATGTGTTCGGGTCTATCAGTCTAAATTGTCCAAATTCTAAATCAAATCAAATGTCTAAACCAGTCAAAAATGAGCCAGAAACTCAGCGTGCAAGATTAAACATTGACTTGGATGCACGGAATTTTATCAACATATTTGACATGCCATCTGTGAAATTAGCTGAAACACCACCCAGGTTCAAGCCCTCTCTTAGTCTTCCTCAGTTGCGTAATCCCAAAGCTGGAAATCCATTTTTCGATTCAGCTCCTCCTGCGGCGAAGGATCTGTCAATTAATACTTCGCCCCAAGAAACTGCGCCCAAGGACATGGATTCAGTATTGGATTTATCGATGGATAATCGTGCCAAAGGAGCTAATCTAAATCAGTTGAACACGACTGTTAACACCGCTTCTTTCAAGCCGAGCTGCAACTCTTCAGTCATCGGTGAAATAGATCACGAGGGAAATAAAGAAAACGAAAGGATGGCAAGCAAGCTCCCAGTTTCGAGAGCACCTTTGGATTCAAAACTGTTGGCGAAAGAAATATTCAAAATGCCCTCAATGGAAATTACCCCCATGAAAGCACCTGTTTCTAACTCTTTCAAAAAACCAGCACAGCCTTTAACTACAAACGCTAATAGTTCTGGTATTCCTAGTTTTGTCTCACAACCACAGATCATAAATCCTAACTTTGTCTTACCGAAATTGAATCCACGACCGCAGAGCAAACCCTACTCGTTTTCATCAGACGTTGCCAAGTTTCGTCAAAAAGAAGGTGGGCCGAAGGTGACCATCCAAAATGCACCACAGCCGTCCAATCCTAGCAGTACTCCGTGCATTAAAGTGAACAACAGATCCTACAATATTCATAGTACCATTGGAAAAGGAGGCTCTAGTGAAGTCTACAAGGTAAGGAAGTTTATTCTGATTTTAAATTGTACAAATTTGAACAGTCATACCATTTGTTAGAACCTCGGAAGAATCCTCACAGAAAGAGGGGCCCATTTCCTAGCATATCCAAAACTGAAATTGTTCGAAAATTGTAAGGGTGACTGTAGAGCATTAAAACATTCAGTTTGAGTCTAGTGATATTAAATATTACGGCACAGAATTGGTTGTCTGGCATTGTTCAGAAGAGAGCCAACTTTTCTGGCTAATTTTAGAAAAGACATTTGAATCATCCAGTGGCGTGCGGTCCGCATAAGCAAGGCAAGCACTGCTTGCCCAAAGATTTCAAAAGAAAGAAGAAAATTACACCTGTTACATGCATGTTTTACATTTTAGCAAATATAATTTATAAAAGGTGTTCAGTATGTAAATTGCATTGAAAACAGAAAGAGAGAGAGACAGAAATATGTATAGTGCCACTATAGTATAGGAAAGCAGCAGAGCGGATGGAGGTGGTGCAGCGAGCTGCGCGGCCTGGACACGGGCCGACTCATGCGCTGGAGAATCGCTTGCGATCAGCTGAGCGGAGCGCCACTGCTCGGCGGCAGAATCAAGGCGGGCGGGTAGAGCGGTACGTTCCGAGTCCGAGCCCTTCGCTGCGCGATCGCAGCTCGCTTCACTTGGCCATCTCTTGGCCCGTCACCGCAGCGCGCTGCTTCTGCCTCCGATGCGCTATCTTGCTCCCTCTTTCCGTCGCGGTTGTAGTTGCTCCTTCGGAGCAAATGCCCTTAAATTCTATAAAATTTCGCTCACTTGATCTAATTAGTGATGAATTAGAAAATTCTCAATCATGTTTTAAATGCAGAAAATTCTAATTTTCTTACTTATTTTTCTAATTTTAAACTAAAAAAAATCTAAATAATGTAGAATAAAGACTACAATACCTCAAATAAGTGGCAAAATTAGGAGTTAAGAGCATGGAGCCGTCCTCTAATGCTCAATAACATTCGAAACAAGTTGAGTAAACGAAAACCACAGTTTTTCAAGACGTTCCATCAGATTTCATCCTAAAAATAGAGTAAATACCGTAAAATTTTAACAATTTTCTAGGGAGGCTCCCTGAGGAGGGGAAAGAGACTACGTTACCCCCCCCCCCTCCCGGGATGGCGAACGCTAGAGCTTGCCCTGTCACTAAACCCACCGCACGCCACTGGAATCATCGATCTCCCTATGCAAAAACTTGTTTTATAAATAAGCCAGAAAAGTCAGTTCGATACATTTTGCAAAATCTTTACTTGATGTGAAATCTCCAAGATTAGAAGTATAAGTGAAAGATGAAATGCCAAATTTCTGTTTCTCTTATCAAGAGATATCCTGTTCAAATCAAGAAACATGTAATAAGATCCAGTGTATGTCTAATGCACATTCATGCACTTTTCAATCATCTGCAAGATTTATTCATTAACCCAATAGCATACTATAGCCCATATTTTCATCAAATGCACATTGGATCAATAACTAACCAATGCACAGCTTCTCAAAATCTCGTCTTTTAGGCATGGTGTCCAGAATGGGGAAACCCGGGATTTATAAGGGAATAAAAATTTACGTTGAAAATCAGGGAATTTGTTCCAGTAACCGGAAATCTCTTCTTCTACCGCTTAGGGATCATTTCGTTTTCAAATTTGGCGGTCCAATCTGACCAAGCGCTATTATTGACTTCTTGAATTAAACATTTGAAGCTTCAAATCATCAGAAGAATAGAGAGGCTTTCATTGACCAGATAATATAAACATCAGGAACGCTATTGGAATTAAAGTTCTGAATGAGCGCCAAAGAAATGGCTGAAAGATGAATTAAAATCGATATTCATGCATGAAACTCTGGGGAGTTATATTATTTTCCCCCAGAAAATCCCGGGGAAGTGGGAGAAAACTTCGGTTTCTCATCATCAGGGAATGAGCTCCTGAAAATCAGGAAGAAATCAGGGAATGAGCCCTGTTAAAAATTCTGGACACCATGCTTTAAGGTTGGATCCCCCAGATTAGAAGAAAATAGTAAAATCTGAATGTTTAAAGTATAATGGAATGCATGGTGAAATAACGAAAGTAGTACAGGAGACTCTGGATTATCCGGATTAATTGGTGCCGGACCCGATCCGGATAAAAAAAATCCGGATAATAATAGGAAACCCAAGTCCAACACCACAGTATTCTTATTATGTATACATCATGTACATACCAACTTAAGCGGGCTTGAAGTAGGCAGTCAACGGTCTCTGCCTTTTAGAATCCGCGTGTTTCTTGGATGCCAAATCCCAGGGGAAAAATGGGTTAGAGCCCCCTCTGTCATTTCAGCGTCAAACTTTCCCTCAATAGCTGTCATATATTGGGTCCGTTTTAAGTTCAGAATGGGTCCACTAACTGGAATACCTTGCGATCTAGCTTGGTTCAGCCACAAAAATAAGGCTTCGTCTACTTTTGGGTACTCTGCAGTTTCCATTGTTTTACGATTTCTTAAGGAGTTGTTATCAACTTGCTTACATGGTTGCAAAATCGATTCGGATAATCCAGAGTCTGGATAATACGAAGCCAGATAGTCCAGAGTCTACTGTATTAGCTACCCGTAAACTGAGTAATGTTGTCTCTTGGAATGCACACCGCCAATAGGTATATTCTTGGATTCTAATGGCATTCGTTGATTATGTCACAGGTGGAGGATCCTGGCAGCAAATCTTTCTTAGCTATGAAAGTTGTAAAATTAGCATCAGTCGATGAAGCAATTGCTGAAGGATATATGAACGAAGTTAAACTCCTTGAGAAATTACAGGGCTGCTCGAGCGTCATTCGCATGTTTGATTAGTAAGTTCAAAAATTCATCTAAATTTTTATTCTTTGTCCTGAAAAAATAAACAATTCTCGGATTTTTTAACTACATTCGCTCATTAAATAAAATAAGGAGCATAACTCAGCCGCTTTTTTTTGCTAAATTTCAATAATTCAAAGCTGATTTTCATCTGTAATTATCCCCACGATACTGTGGCAAACTGGGTCTGCTGCTCACGTTAATAGCGGCCACTTGAGTAGACTTTTCAAAAGTAAAATTGCATAAAAATGGCAAGAAATGAAGGTAGCTGGCACTTAGATTCGGTATTGAAAACGTATACTGACCAACCAATTATTGATTGGAGGAGTACTTTTTACAAATTCTTTAATTAGATTTTTCATGCAATTTGCTTGACAAAAAATTTACTCAGTTGGCTTCATCTCTTGCTTCTATCAGACCAATCGTGACTTTTAAATAGTGATGTTATGTAATGACTATTATAATCTAATTTCCTCACTTGATGAGCACTGAGCAGCAGCTCATAGGTTAGGGCTACTGTCTTTCTGATCACCACACACGTACACGTGTCCACGAGATGAAAGACATAAGTGTGTGTGACACAAGCTGATACTGGATTTTCTAAAGGGTGATCAAAAATGTACCGCACCAGTGGCATCCTTGTAACTTTTTAAAAATTGTGATGGAGACTAAAAATTTTGAGAATGCTCCTATGTCAAAGGAAATGACTGATGAAACTCCATAAAATTTTAAGCGGATTACCCTTAAATGGGACAAAAACCGTAGAAATTGAAGGGATGCTAAGGGATTTTTGGATCACTCCGTATGTCCTTGCGTACATTTTTCTATAAATGCGAAAAGATAACTGATAAATCTCTAAAGCTCAAAATTATTGCTTGACTGATCTTTTCTTAGTGTCAATATAATTTTATTGGTTCCATAGTTTAATAATAGAGTGTTTTTCAGTGAGTACATCCAAGAAACCAAAAAACTGTACGTTGTAATGGAGTTGGGCGAAACAGATTTATCGCGACTACTGAAGGACATCAAGAAGACAAAAGAGATTTCTCCAATTCGGATCCTTTATTATTGGACAGAAATGCTCACCGCTGTACAAGAAATTCATGAAAAAGGTAAACAACTAATTTGGATCTCGAATCTTACTTTCCTATCGTCATCACTCTCTGAAAACCGAATCACAAAACCTTAAACTCTGTGAAGGTTTTTTGGTAACTCTTTTGTTCATTGACTCTTTTTGGAGAGTTGCAGAAGAGTGTTAAGTAAATATAGAAGTATGAGACTCACTTACATGTATGTAATTTATTCTAATGTTTACTTGATTCGAATCTCTGGCATTCCTAGTGCAATTGATTGCAAGATAAAAATCGGCCAAGCCCGCTTACTACAAAATTTTCTGTCGTCAACTTTTTAAAAATTTCTACAGCTATTATTTGCTTAACTTTAAGCTTGTTATTAGGCCTTCCTCCAACTCTAAGTCAGGCCCCGGAGCAAAAAATTCCTTGACGCAATGTTCCTTTTGAACCCGACTTAAATCAGTTTTTTGAGCTTGAGACTTCAGATAGTGTAGTATTGCAGGGAAGATTATCCAGGACAGCAAGAACCCAAAATGCCAATAGAGGTATGCCTGGCATGCCTTAATCACATTTTGACTGTAAAACAAAGTCAGGTAAATACTTTTGTTGATCCTCCCCTTTTTTTCAAAGAAAAACAAAAAAAAAAACTGAGCTACAAGAACAAAAAACTTTCAAGCCTCACGAAACCTAAGTCTTCTACCAGACTTAATTTTCCTCCTTTATCTAAACTCTTCCCTTTGAGGAAAGAAGAAGAAAACAACCTTTTTGTCTCCAAGAAATTGACCTTTTCCTCCTCTGAAACGCTCTTAAAATCGAAAGTAACAACCGAATCTTACTGTCTTCACTCGTTCCTTGGGACCACGTATGACTAATCAAGCGGCATGAAAGTTTTTGCTCCCATGTTAGGGCAGAAGTTTTAAAACTTTTCTTGCTTCTGGTATTGTCAAGTAAGACTAATGGGTTTTTGGCCTTGCACCTCTTTTACAAGTCTTGTTTCTCTTTTTTTCATTCTTCAAACCAAAAAGCTTGGCCTCAGGACTTGCTTCCTGTATTCTATTGCTATCTCTTACTTTCCAGGAATCATCCACTCAGATTTGAAACCAGCCAACTTTCTCTTCGTCTCTGGAAGACTGAAGCTGATTGATTTCGGTATTGCCTCTTCATTGCAAGGTGACATGACGTCCGTGCACAAGGATATTTGTGCGGGAACAGAGAACTACATGAGTCCAGAAGCAATTAAAGATGGTACTGGTGGCAATGACAAAAAATACAAGGTAACCTACAATTTGCTTGTTTGAAAAAAAGGAAATAGAAGTTAATGGTAACAAAAATATGTTAACAGCTCCCTATAAGAATGCAGAAACTTTTACCATCTCATGCCATTCTTTAAACTTTAAAAATAAACTGATACGATCAGCGACAAACAGTTATGTAAAAATTTAACAATTCAAACAACAAATAACAAAGTCACCATGCTCATCTATGAACAGCCAAAACAATATTGTAAGCTGTTGTGATAATGACATAAATTAGAGTTTTCCAAAGTACAGCAAACAAAGAAAACATGAAAATCATTTCATGAAAAATCAGTATTTGAAAGTGTTATTTGAATGATATGAAGAATGTGAGTACCAGATTTATGTGTATGTCTAAATCATAAAATGTAAAGTTTCTTGAAAAGTCACTTTCCTTTGTTTCAGATATCATATAAATCAGATGTGTGGTCTTTAGGTTGTATTCTTTACAATTTAATTTACGGGAAAACTCCTTTCTCGCACATCACCAGTCACTGGGGAAAAATGTATGCGATTATCAGCTCAAGCCATAAAATTGATTTCCCCAACCATCCAATTCCCCCAATACTACGTCAAGCCATGCAACGATGTCTCATTCGGGATCCAAAGCAGAGGCCAACAGTGAAGGATCTCCTAGATGGCGCCTCTGGGTTTCTGTTTCAGTCGCCATGCGTCTACTCCTGTAAAGATCTTCCTCTCAAGATACAGCAATCACTGCCACAGGAATGTTGGCTGAAAATCGCTCATGTAAGTACCTTCAATTACTAATTCAAACTCTAAAGTAAGTAGGTATGTGGTATGACGCAAAATTGAAGGATAATCTTAGCTTTTTGCCTATCTCAAGTCTCTGGTTTACATGAATATGTTGCTTGCATCAACATTAAACTCCGTAGTTTGTGCGATATTGATGTAAAAATTCACTTAAAAATTCGAAGATAAATAATAGCAGATGTTCCTGAAAATTCATTTTTTAATAAAGGAAATTATGGCAATGTCTAAAAACTTTTACGGTGTTCTTCCTCACCTTGGTAGTGTACTAAGAATGCAAAATTATGAGCAACGAAAGGAATATCTGCTGTTGCAGTTGAATTTTTTTTTAATGTTGGCACAAAAAATTTTTGAATGAGACAAATATTTGTCCATGTTTGTAAACAAAAATATTTAAAATTGAGTTCTCTAAGGAGACACTCTGCAATATCCTAAAGAATAAGTATTAAGCATTTTTCTTTATTTTTGTGCCAAAGAAGGGCATGAAGTTGCTACCTCTAATCCAATAGTGAATCAAATGCAAAGTCACAGAAGTAGGATTTAATTGTTTAACCTAATGGATTGGCAAAAAGTAGCAAGATCTGTTCAATACTAACCAATACTACTACCCAATACTAACGGAGATTTCCTCTTTCGAACGCACAGTGCACGGTGTATGATGTCATCCAGTGTGGTAGTATGCAGCACGGTTTCTTCCACCTTGGACTCGTCAATTAATGCTCCACGTACTTGCTTTGGTTGCTCGACTTAAGAATGAACTGAATTAATACTGAATACATGTATACTTAATACACATATACTCAATATACGTATGAAACCAAGGTGGAAGAAACAATTGTATGCACCACTCCAGTGGATAATGTCTTACGTTCTGTTTTTCATAGAGCAATATCTTTGTTAATATTGGGTGTGGAAACGTGATGTTTGTATAAATCAAATTAGAACTTGCTGATCTTTAATCTGAAATCATTTAAACTTCTTCCTATGACTGGCACATCTGACCCAGATTAAATTCTGAACAGGGCAAATTAAACCCTCCGATATATATATTCTCAGAACCAAGTTTTTTTTTTTTTTAAATGAGAATCCCGAAGTGTCTGAAGTCTAGTTTAGTTTGATAGTTTTTAGTGTTTTTTGTATTATTATTTCCTCAGGAATTTTCTCTGTGCAGTATTACTTATATTTTAGTCTTGAGTTCTTCAGCACTAAGGTCGATGATTCCTTTGTCTGAGGACTATCACAAAAAGTGGAGTAAAAAGGGGATAAATTTCCGTCAGCGTACACAATCCAAAACTATTTCAAGTTTCCTTTATCTTTATCTTTATTTCTTTTGTTTTTTTGTTGCAGCTTTTTCAAAACCAGTGAAGTCGATGGAAACTTAAAGGAAATAAATCAGTAGAACCCTGAGAGAATCCTGTTTGACCTGTGATCAACGATTGTAAATATTAGTTTCAATTATATCTAACTGCCCTATTTATTTTACTTATAAGGTTTTTTGATATCTTGTCATCGAGTCCTAGGTACATTTTTTTTAACCAGAAAAATTCCTTCTTGGACTATTGGCAAGGATAATCAATTTTATTTGATCTCTGTGCTTTGTGATCGGCTTTTTTGGTTTTTGAAAGAGGAATCTGAATGAGAAAGATATTGTAAATAACAAGCCAGGCACACTGCTGTTCAAAAGAAAAAGTAATGAACGTTTGGACTTTTCCAAATTTCCCCTGATGAAATGCACATTTTCTAGGGAACGTGATCATATTTTTTGTCTTGAAATTTTCAAAAAAATTTATTCGTCGTCCAATCTAGGGAATCTGAAAATTACAAAAGGAAAAATATTCAAAAATTTCCTCTAAACTACATGATTTTCCCAGAAAAAAGTGGCAAGATGCGATTATTCTGCTTTTCCCCCTGTCACAGCATTATAGCCTTCATTTTTATTTTTTGAATATTAACAATAGTTTTACATGCGGATTATTAGATTGAAATATTTCTGAAAGGGGTAATTTTTTAGAAAATATCTGTTCAAACAACTAGATTGTGTTTTGCAAAGAAGAACCAAAGGCTCCATGATGCTGAAAAGATTGTTGAGCTTCTTGTACTTCGTTAAAAACATTTGAAAAGTTGAACAGCTGCTATTTGTACATGAAGACTGAATGTAATCAGATTTGAAAATTGCAGTGTTTGTTTGTTGGTCTTTTTATATTCGTATTCTCATTCTTTTACTGCACCTGAAAAGGTTGCGCTATCCTAGCAACATTACTGGGCTCTTGATTCCTTTTTGCCACTTAAAAGTTGATTGTACTCAGCGGTGACTATTCTGACTGTTCACAACTTGAAATCCGTTTACTAATAGACTTTTAAAGGGAAAAAAACCAAAGAAAACAAACCCAGAAAAATTCAGTTCTGATCTCAGATTGACTGAAATGAATGTAATGATCAATGACGATCCTGATAATCATCTATAACTAATAAAACGTGCTTATTCTGCAGGCCTTCCCTAAAATTGGCAGGAGGATATGGAGCAAGTTAACAGAGATGCACCAAGTTTTTTTGGAAACAGGAGGTTTGTTCGTTAAATTCGTTTAGCAGAATATCAAGGAATTTCTTTTGAGAAAAACATTGCATTTCAAAATGTTTGATGTTAATTTACTGCGGCATGTTTATTTAGTTAAGTCTGAGCAATGAAATGAAGTTTTCTGCAAGAGGAATTTTTTTATCCGTGTTTTCAGTGGCATGGCTCTGTAGTTGATTCTTCTGCAGATTCATCGAAGTCTGCAACTGATAATGAATTAAGTGAGAGAGAAACCAAGTCCATCGCTCTTATGTAGAATTCTGCTCACCAGCTAGCGAGCATACTCCTTGTTTTCACAAAAGCTTGATATATTTCTATTAATTCAGTCCATGTTGAGGTTTATCCTCGTTTATCTCCACCTTTAAGAAAATCATTCTTGAAAATGCTTACACGAAGGTCACTTTTAACATAAAGGGGAAAATGCTTTTTCTCCCGCCATTACCTGGCTCAGTGCTTTTTTTCCACCTTTTTCTATGACTCGCACCCCTGATTTTAATCAATGTATGAAAGTTTGTAAAATATAAGGGATTTTTTGACGTGCTTACTTGCTTATTTTTTATAAGGCTCTCAAAATTTTCTTTGATCAGCCTCGTTTTAATGTGATGATAAAATTTTTTGATTAAGGTCTAGCCAAGTAAATGCTTTTAAATAAGGCCTACCAATACCCAAAGTGCAATACCACTTATCTCCAATGCGATGTTTTAAAATTCCCGTTCCTATTTTATTTTTTTGAAGAGAAACAAGGATACTTTAAAGCTTGAAATTTATAGAGAATATCTTCCTAACAGAGAAGAAAAACCAAGGAGGTTTTCAAGAAATTATGGTTGCAAAGAAAAAATAATGTATGACTGGAGGTGTGCAACTTCGCAAAAGGAGATACGAGGTTTTGCACCAGGCCATTGATTTTTATTATCATTTTTTACAGTCAGACCTCAGTCTAAAAATTGTACAATCATAACAAAGTTTAGTAAATTGTATAATTCTTGTAACACTTCCTATTTTGTACATCTTGTTGGTTTTTATATTGTGTTTTTAATGTTTGTCTTTCACTAATTCTAACTTTTTTAATTTTGGATTCAAAAATTTGTTTTCCTCATCTTCAGGTTAATGATCAAACTAAAAATAATTCAATAAATATGATCAACGATAAGCTTTAAAATTACGGACAGAATGTGAAAAGGAAAACAAATCGCATAAAAAAAGGAAGAATTGAAATTTATTCTCGTCTTTTTCTGCTAGATTAACAGATCCGGAACTTCCCTCAAATAGTGTACATAACATATGTAATAGCACCTTTGGGGAAAAGAAAGTTTGAATGAGTCAGTGGTGTCTAAAATTCATTTTCCCTAAATACTGAGCGTTTAAATAATTTTTTCGAATTTTTGTAAAACAGAAAAATCAATTTTGAAGTCGCCTAAATATGGACCCATTTGAAATTATGCTTTTGGCGGTCTGATATGACATAGGCAGGTGAGGAAGTCCGCTTTTGCCGATTGGCTAAAACTCAGTCAAAGATGTGGCCTAGTTCCGCCATCACGACTGTTGACCTCTCATTTGTCAGATTTTAATCAACTTTTTCTCCTCTAGGAGTTCTTCTAAAACTTGTCAATGGGCTTTTTTGGTTTTTTTTATGATACTTACAGAAATGTAATGCCACTGACCCATTTTTGAAGCCAAGTGTTTGCTTCTCTGTGTCTTTCAGTTCACACTTACCACTTTTCCATCGTACAATACCCACATGTGTCAAATCCAGTATTAAACACAACATCTATTAACATCCAGTATGGTAAATTCCACGTTGGAAAGGTATTTTTCAATGAGCTACTTTTTCTTTGATGAATTTATCAGTATCGTGTATCTGAGAAAGAAATTTCAGTACAACTGACCAGTAATTTATAGAATATGTGAATCCATTTTCATAGTCAGTTTAGTTTTATCAGAGATTGTAAATTGAAACTGACTGATCTTGAAGTGAATCCTTTACCCTAATTTTGTGCTCTTGGGTTGATGCTTGTAAAATTGATTGCATGAAATTATCCTAATGGTGGGAACCTAATTGGTACCCTCTCCTTAGAACTATGTTTTTGGTCCTCCACTTTCCCCAAGACATTTTTCCTCGAGCTTCCTTAAAAAATAACAGTTTTTGAGTTTAAAATTTTTGAATTATCGAAAGACAACTGTACTTATTAATGTATATCTCTAATACCTGTGCACATTTTGTTCAAATTTGAAACTCTTCTTCCAATAAATGACTGAAAATAAGAAAAAACAGAAGTTCAATGTTTTACTTGTTTCATTCATATTTTCAAAAGATAGTCCAACTGGGATCATTTAACGCTTATACTCGTCAAATTCAGCCAGAAGATCGATCCTAACCCGCACAAAATTGGGGACATCATCAGTCCTCTCTTGAAATCTTTGTGTAAGTGTTACGCTTCGTTGGCAGAATTCCCTAGACCGTAAACTGAGGGATTTTTGTTTGCCCCGTCCACGGAAAAAAATGACTGTGCGCGGATAGCCATCTTGGTTTTGTCAATTAAAAGTTGGTGCTGTATACATGAAAAAATTGATAGAATAACCAATGGCATTGTATTGTCCACAATGTCTTTAGGGAAATCAATCATTTTCAATTAGTTCCTACTAGCTATTACAAATCTGTTCACCGAGACAAAATTGATGGTAAACTGCTCAATCAAGTTGACTCATTGCACCAAAGAGTGCGCTTGCGCTTCACCTATCTTGTTTTTGGTTGATGCTACTCGGTTAAGTGGGCTCATTGAACTACAGAATGCGTTAGTGCAAATTATAAACTTTTTGATTATGAAGGTCACCATCTCAGATAACTCAATTAAAGTATTTTGTTAGTAGTCTGCCCCGTTAATTTTTTACGCTTTACCAACATTGAGTCACCAAAGATAGCAATCAGATATGGGCTGATTAGGGAAAGTATGTTGATAAATTTTCAAGAATTCATATTCAACCCACCTTGTGTGACTGATAAGCGTGTAATGTTCGTGGAGCGTACTCCTTTTCCAGTCCCTGGCTCGGGTGACGGTAAAGTCGCCGCAGAACTATATGACTTCGCGCAATTAATTATTCTTGACTCTGCTCAGTTTTAATGATAATTAAAGGGCACTTATTACGACAATTCAGAAACTCGGACGATGTTAAATTTTTCACTGATTTAAAAAAAAAGGATTAAAACGAACTAAAATATTCATCAAAACCAAAAATTATTTCATTCTAAAAGTAAAGTATACCTCATATCGTAATTTTTGAGGGGAAAAATAAAACTAACACTAATAGGAGGTAAAAATAGGGCCGCGAAGCGGCCCATTGATGGCGCAGAGCGCCTTCAGGGGGTTGGACCGCGTAGCGGTCAGGGGGCATAGTCCCCTAGTATTTGACTATTTGCCTAGACATTTGACAAAATGCCTTATTTTACTATTTGCCTGCGACATATCGATTGCAGTGTTTGAAAATTTCTTTCCTCCCCCCTCCCCTTGGCACCAAGTTTTACGAAAATCCGACGAGCAGGAACCGAGATAGCGTTTTAGGCCACACCCGCCACCTTGGTTTTTCGAAATTAGACTGAAAATTCGAATTTAATCGATGGAATGGGAGCCGATGGAGCCAATTTAGTCTAGGTACGTCCGCCGTCTTAAATTTTCAAATTCAGAAAAATCAACCTTGAAACGCATCATACCCAAAATCTAAGCTCAGATTCGGCTTCCTCGTGAAAAATCGATGCTCTTTCATGTATCATTTAATACCATAGCATAAAGAAAAGAGGGTAATCGTAGGCGTAAAGATCCTATCAAAGCCGGCCGGTATGCGGAAGTAGGCACAGAATCCAAACGTTTGAGCTACGCCGCCAGGCGCCAGGCGCCAAGCATTTGGTTCGTCCGTTTCCGAGAAAACAAACTTCTTCTTACTCATCAGCTGACCCACTCCGAATCACCCATGTTGCCACGTCGGACTGATATGGTAGAATCTACACGCTTACGTTAATCTCTTTCCTTCATGATATGGTGATATGATACATGAAATTGCATCGATTTTTCACGAGGAAGCCGAATCTGAGCTTAGATTTCGGATATTATGCGTTTTAAGTCAAATTTTCTTTTATCTATTTTAAATCACTCAGGAAAATTTGCGGAAACTCATTAGAATAACAGTGTGTATTCTTTTAAAAACATTGATCAGAAATAAAACATTGACGATATTTGAATCCATTAATCTCCGAGATAACTTGAACACGGTTGTTCTACGACTTTTTACGTACGTTGTTTTCTTCCGCATTGGTTGTCGGCAGCGTAGTGGCCAAAGGCCCCTGGTACTAATAATAGTTTTCAATATCAATTATTTTCTACATTCAAAATTCCAAGGTAATGGCAGAAATTTATCAATTGTTACTAATGTTTTAACAATGTTTCTTGTCAATTGTATGCTGTCGTTAAGCTAAACATCGCAGGTTTACCAGTAAGCTAGGCATGCACTATATTTAACACCATGTCAAGGCTTCAGTACTTTAGAGGGGTAATTTTTTGATTTTCTATTCTACATAATCTCACTTGTTCAAGTAAGTAGCCTGGGATTATTTGTCCAATGCTAGAAGCACTTTAGCCGATCATAAAAATAATCCTAGTTTGAAAATTTTGAATTGGTTCTCGACATGAAAAGAAAAAAAGAAAAAATAGATAAATAAAATGCAGTTATGAATAACAACGAAGAGATATTTAATGAAGTACGAAAATTAAAATAAAGTGACTGAATTAAATTAAAAAAATAAAAAATTGCAAGAAATAAAATAAAGTAAGTAACGGTAAAATACAGGGAAGAAATAAAGAATAAATAATCAAAGAAAAATAATATTAAGTAAAGAAAAAACAATACAGTAAAACATTAAATTAAGTAAAGAAACAAAGGAAAACAAATTAAGATAAAGTAAATAAATAAAAAATAAATAATCAAAGAAAAATTATATTACGTAAAGAAAAAAAAACAAAGTAAAAAAATTAAAATGAAGTAACGAAATAAAATAAAGTGAAAAACTGAAATAACGTTAAAAAATAAAATGAAATACAAAAAGTAGAAAAATGAATGAACCAATCTTAGTATGTAGATTGAATATCCTGGTTTTCCGTTCAAATCGAAGCTATGTACAGGTTTTTCGGTCAAGATTCTCATCATACTGTATAGCTCAATTGTTAGGGTCTTCGGCTAGGGTTAGATAGGTCTCAGGTTCAATCCCCGTGGTAGGCTAAAAGATTTGATAGGTCGGAGACGACTACAGCACCTCACAATAAGTCCTGTAGTCTCATTTTACTCGATTTCCAAATTTACTTACGCGATTAACCCTTTTCCACCATCCCCTAGTTGCGAACCCCAACATTGCACACCTTTGTATCCAATTTTTTTAGCTGTACGTTTTACAAGAAAAATTTCAGGCTCTCCTTGCTTTCATGATTGATACACTAAACATCCGGATGGGTCAGTTTACCATCTTTGAAGGTCTATCTCAGCAACGTTGTGCGGGACGTTTACGGAGGACGGCGCGCCCGCCCAGCAGTGTTGGTGCGAATTACCATTTTTGTTGTCAACGCCTACCTGATCGCGGTTTGATATTTCTAACCATCATATCATTTTGCTCGTAGCAAAATTGTTCTCAGGGGTCGAATCTGGGAATCCAAGATGGTAAATGTCACCTACTATCTGGCTATAAGCACCAAAGATTTATTTCCGTGTCCGCGGATTGGCCATCCTCTTTGCCCAGTACGATTACTGACCGATGTTTTTTCCCAGTCTGTGAGCAAGGCAACCAGTCAGCGGACTGGCCGGTCTAAAGTCTGAAAATTACGCCGATCGTTAAATTTAGCCGCAATCCATAAGCTAACCGACGACTATCCCCCTCCAACCGAACCGATTTCTGACGAGTATTGCAAAAGTATCAAAATAAAAACCAATACAATTTATTTTACAGGTTGCGTGAATCAGGTTTGCAATTAATTTTTATTAAATTTATTATATGAGTTTTCAATAAAAATTTACGAGTTTATTCTACAAACCTGGTATCTAAGTTAACATAACCGGTCAATAGAAATTCGTTTTATCCAGACAGAGATGAATGAAACGAACAGAAAAAGAATGATTCTCGGCGGAAATATCCATCAAATTTTTTTTGTACACACACAGTTTTTTAGAAGTTTCGAACTTTCCGGAGTGATCGAAAATAAAATCGCAACAAATTTCGACGCGATATTTTCGTTCGGTCTTTTTTCTTTTCAGTAAACCAAAATTAATTTTATGCGATTCAAGTTTCAGAATCGCTGCATCGTTTGAACATCGTCCGAGTTTCTGAATTTTTGCAATTAAGATACATATTTACCCTGTATTGGGATAAAACTGAGCAGGGATCGTCACAAGATTTGACACGTGGACCTAGTTCTGCGGCGATTTTAGCGTCGTGCAAGCCAGAGAGAGGACTGCGGTCGAGTGTGGATTTTCACATTGCGTTTGGTGCAATGCGAGAAGTATTCACGCGGTCTTGTAGGCGCTAACATGCGTTCGACGCCGACCGCACTGTTTGGCGCAATGCATGAAGTATTTCTGCAGTCTTGCAGGCGCTGATATGAGTTTGACGCGATTATTCGAACTCGCCGTAGGATAATCGCGGCATCATACTATGGGGCTTAAAGGTCCATGCTGTGTTTCGATGCCGTATGAGCACTTCAACGTTGCCTCGTCTCTCCCAATAAAATATTTTCCCTGAGAAAATTTAGGAAAGGTCTGTACGTTCGCTTTTTTAGATTGAATGGATCATTAGACGAAGTACGAATTTTAGCACTCTGATACGTGATTCTTCACCAGAATTTCACGTAAAACACAGTTCGCGCAACGAAAACTACTAAAATCAACTTCTTGATAAGATATTAACGTTTTTTTTTTCCATTGGTTATGGGAACTTTGAATTGCCCGGTCACAAAAAAAAAACAAAACCATACGTGAGTCAAATTGCGCTTTACAACGACTTTAGCAGAGATCTCAATGGAGAATAGTTTCTTTTTCACACTGTGATGTTCAGTGTGTACAGCTTGAGCTGAGCTTTAAGATTGAGGTTGAAATGTTACCCATTCATCGGCACTTGAAGACTTAAGTTTTATTTGAAATTTTACAAAGACAAGGACGTCAATGACGAGAATTTAATGCATTTTGATTCTGCTTTCGCAATAAGAACACCATTAATGTGTAGTATAATGTGTAACTTGTGCAAAATGAATGCCCGACGTAGAACCTCAGTTGAGTCTGCGTCTCCCAACTGTAGGGTGGGCTGTAGATCAAGTTGTAACGTTTACTCAGAGTCTAGGTCTCTTGAATTTTTTCAGTTGCTTCCATGGGTTCCTTAGAACATCTGGGACCATGTTTGAGAAACTCTGTAAACTTGGGAAACCAGGTATTCTATGGGAAATCGGCTGGAAAAAAATAAATAAAATAAAATTATTTGAGGCCAAATTAATAGCAGCAGGTACATACCTGCTGATATTAATCTTCCCAATATATTGGGAAGAGTGCACATCTCATTGTTTTAAAGGAATGAGCACATATTAGAGCTGCTTTTAGAGTCTTTTCTACAGTCCATTTAATTGACAGTCCTGTCTATTAAATGAGCAAAGCTAGGGCTATTAACCTGCAAGAATCGTTACGTACATCCTGCAAGATTTCCCATTTTAAGCGGTCAGCCGATATAGGGAGTACTTTTTGATTTCAACTTGCCTCTAGAATTTTAGTATAGGTACTAGTAGCAATGCGTTCAAAAGGCGCACCAGCTGGACAACAAGACTGCAGAGAGAGGCCGAACTTATTTAGAATAGAGTACCTAATCTGTGTTATACCTTTATAATGCTTCTGATGTCAAAACACGGAGGACCATTATCTTTTTTCTATCATTTGTTTTTTCAGCGGTAGTATGTTTTTCTCAAAATTGACACCTAGTTGAAATTTGGGTGAGCGAAGTATTTTATGTCGACGATGCTCATTTTCTTCGGGGAACTTAAAAGCGCGCCTACATAGAAAAGCTGAGCGCTTCTCTAATACGAATACATATTAGAGCTTCCCCGCTTGTTATGTGCTTACACTCTGCAAGAATTGCCACTTTTTATACTTTAGACTCACATCATCAGTAACCTATATAAAAATAGCCATGTAGGAACACGAAATTCATAGGGGCACATTCATCAGTCAAAATCCCCCCCCCCCTCTTTAAACTCATTCTGTGTGAAAAAATACCCCAAAAAGTTTTTAATAAGAGGGGTTATAATTCTAAATTTTCGAGGTGGTCCTTAGTCCACTCCACGAGAAACCCCTCGAAGGTCAAGATTCAGGAGGGCTAAATTAACTGCATTACATATACTGCAACTAGGAGTCAAAAGATATCCTATATCCGTCCCAAATTTCAAACCGTCCTTTCCGAAACACTGACACATTCATATTTAAGTTCTCATGTAAAAATGTATTTAGCATGAAAGTGCCTTACCAATTGACCCTCTATGTACGTTTTGATCAACTTCGTCAGCATTTGCTGTAATATGTTTAACGGAATCAGTGGTGGTGGGACTCCAATGTTCTTTGACAAAATTTCACTGACAATTCCCGTTATCGTTGTTACCGATGGTACCTGAAAAGTAAGCATTTCACTTTAGAGTCGTTAAAATAACATTTAATTAAACAAATTCTAATTTACATTTAAAAATACCCTACGTCATTCTGAATGTCCAAGAGTGGAAATGGCGCTTTTGATGAGATTTTTCCCTCCGTGTATATGATAAGACAGAAAACAGCATTAATAGCTATGACGTAATGTCGACATCCTTTTCTCGAATTACTAATACATTTTCAACCCAAAAATTTTAGGATTTATTGAGCTGTTCGAAACAATCATCTTCCTTAAGTTATACAAACCGTCATAATTTAAAAAAATGTACCTGCTGTGGTGCTCTTTTGTGGAGTTTCTGAAATAAAAACAGAAGACAAATATTAAGCACTGAATAATACATGTATAAACACTAATGTATACAACATTTTGTTTTGTGGTCATGAAGTAATCCTTGAAAGAAAAATTAATTTATGCTCGTCGCGATGAAAATTCTCAAAATTTGGAACAATAGAGATCCGTGAATTTTTTAATTAAAAAATATAGTCAAAGAGTCTCTGCGCAGAAAAACTTTAGTCATGGTTTTTGGGAAGTAGCCTCTGAAACTTTCCCAGAGAGGGATTGTAGGATTTTGATATATATTTTTTTTCATTTATTATTATTTATTTTATTTTTTTTTCTTTTGAGCAAAAAAGGATTTGACACAAAACTTAAAATTGAAAGGCATATCACTTTCTGCCTATTGCCCAGCAAATTCAAGTACCATGCCATGTACCTACCTTAGTCATTTTCTGAAGCAATCGCATTTTACTCACTAATCTACGCTGTTACACTGTTTATCGGGGTTTTAAAATGATACAACTATTCGTCCTCTGAGGCCTCGCCAGGAAGTATTTTCTCGCAATGAAGGCGTTTTTCGTTCGTCGTCAGTCCTCAGCAGTCAAGCAATCGCAGTACTCTCCAATATACGTGCTGCTCCTCTGTTGATTGGAGTTTCAAATGATGCAACTATTCGGCCTCTGAGGCCATGCTAGGAAGTATCTTTTCACAATGAAGGCGTTTTTGTGCGTCGTTACTCTTTAAAATTGAACTACCTATCTCAAGCAATCGCATTACTCGCTGATCTCCGTGCTGCTACGTCGTTGATGGAGTTTTTAAATGATGCAACTATTCGGCCTCTCAGACAGCGCTAGGAAGTATTTTTTCACAATGAAGGCATTTATGCATTTATTATGCCTCGTCACTCGTCACAGTCGTTTGTCGCAACATAAACTGTCATTAAAATACGTGTGTCTGTGTTGCTTTGTAAATTAGGGGCCGTTCAATCATTACGTACTGCACTTTTTTCCGATTTTTTTACCCTGCTCCTTCCCCCTTGTAACGCACCCGTGACGCAGCCCTACAACCCCCTTTAGAATTACGTACTGCTGGCCTGACCCCCCACCCCCCAAAATTAAAAAAATCAAGAAAACGCTGAGGAAACAGTTTGTGAAAAATTCGAGAAGGGCGGGATTTTGAATTTTTGGAACGGTTTCTTTTTCAAAGTTTTTTCCTCCCGGCTCGGATTTGTTACGTAACGCTGGGCTTGACCCCCCCCCCCTTTTAACGCACCGTAACGCTGGCTCCCCCCCCCCCAAGTGCGTTACGTAATACATGGACGGCCCCTTACGGGATGTCTTGGGAATGGTGTTGTCGCATAAGTTGAGTGTATCTATTATCTGAAAGTATGAAGTTTCGAAGTTAGGAAGTACGAGATTAGGTGTCAGGTAGAAGGAACTTTGTATCGACAAAAACAGCTAATTTTGACGCTAATTGTAAAATCGGCAACTTATTCTCATTTTTTCCGAGGCATGCTTTCGCGCATCTCTTTTTGTTACCAAGACGTAAACCCTCAATGCAATTTTCAAAATTCGGAAGTCGAAGTTTTTAAACTCCCCTTACCCTCCCCCCACCCCCTCCCGGTGCCCTCTGGCACCCTCACACGAAAAGTACCTAAATTAGTTGCTCGTGGCAGCACACCTGCATATAAGTGGCAATTCTGGAGAAGTAGTTGGGGATCGGATCGACGATAGATTGGACATAAGTGGACAACTCTGCAGCGATGTTGAATTTGGTCAAATCGTGGAGGGCGGGAGCGGCTGACGTCATCTGGGAAATGGCTTGGTGGAAGAAAGGGGCCACGGTGGAAGGAAAAGCGATGTAGATCTTGAAGAGAAACAATGTGTTCGACTGCTCCTCCCTTCCGAGCTGATTCAGCTCGTCCTTGAGCTTCGGCAGCTCCTTGAAGAGAGGCGTGAGATCAGGGTTGCTGTAGACGACCTCCAGGGGTGGAGTCTGGGGTTGAGCCGGTTGAGCGCTCAAAATGTTGAGTGGTGAGAGCGCGTTGGCTGCCATCGTTGCCATCGTCCAGAAATCGGTTGGTGCCGTCGGTGGGTCTGGTTCCCGCCGTCCCAACTTTTCGTCTGCATCCAAATAATGAGCAAGTATGACATTGATGTGGACCAGACACAGAGCCGCTACCTAGAAAACGGATAATTTTCAGTGTCATTAGGCGAATTTTTGCGAAAGGATTTTGGTGACTTTTTAGATCAAATCTTAATGAAGAACGTTTTTTTTCCGATCCAATCCATTAGTCTGTTGAGCTCATCAGCAGCCAGTATCGGAACCGAATCCAAAATTGAAGGTGAAAGTCAAGTTCATGATCAGGCCCGCCACACGGGGGGGGGGANGGGGGGGGGGGGGGATACTACGTCCCTGGTACCGGGGCCCGGGCGCCGGAGGGGGCCCGTGTTACCCGTGAAAAACCACTACGAATCCACATGCAACCCTTGTTTCGTAAGAAAAAGTGAAAAATTTACCCTAAAAATTTCGCAAAAGGTGAATAGATTTTCAAAAACACGCTGGGGCACTGTAGAATTCTTCTTAAATTTTCAAAGAAGTATATTTCTTGGAACATTCCTATCTATTTTCAAGATTTTCAGAACAGCGGGATATTTTTCGTAACTGCGTTTCATTTTCTTCCGTCGTCAGATGCTAAAGAGTCTCCAGTCTGGGCATTCTCGACTTCAATGGCTCATGACTCAACTCCCTTGCCATGGACAAACGAAGGAGGAGTCCAGGGGGGCCTGGCCCTCATAGAACTGAAAATAGTATCATATGCCCCCCCCCCAAAAAAAAAAACAAAAAAAAACAAAAAAAAACAATAGTATTCCGCAGAAATTAATGGCAAAATTCTTTACGGAATCTTATAAATGCGTCCGATTAGTCGTATAAATTCTAAAATTTCTCGAGGGATGCCCCTCGGACCCCCCCCCCTCCGTGCTTGGGGCCCGGACCTTAAAACTGGTACCAGGGCCCGAGATGGGATGTGGCGAGCCTGCATGCAGGCTATTTCCATTTAAATCTTCCGTCACATTCATACGGCGCAATGATACAACTATTTGAACTCTCCGGAATGCGTGAGGAATCACGCCGCGTTTGAAGGCGTTTTCAAAACAGCCAAGTTCCGGTATCGGAATAATCGTTTTGCATAGTTCATATTATTTTGTTTCCATTTCTAACCACTTGTTTAATTATAATCCTCCCATAAAAACCACCCATTTTCTAAATACAATTCTAGCTGAAGCGCATTTAAGCGCATCCATGACTGCAAAAATGTTAACGGAAATCGAAAAGACATGAAGGCAGCGTGCATGAAGGCTATTTCAATTGTAATCTTCCGTCGCATTTCTAAGGCGCAATGATACAACTATTTGAACTCTACGGAATGCGTGAGGCAGCACGCCGCATTTGAAGGCGTTTTCAAAACAGCCAAGTTCCGTTATCGGAATAATCGTTTTGCATAGTTCATATTATTTTGTTTCCATTTCTATTCACTTGATTAATTATAATCCTCCTTTAAAAACCACTCATTTTCAAAATACAATTCTAGCTGAAGCGTACTTCAGCTATGCATTCACCACTGCAAAAATTTCAGAGGAAATCGACAAGCCCAGCGTGCATGGAGGCTATTTTAATTGTAATCTTCCGTCGCATTTCTAAGGCGCAATGATACAACTATTTGAACTCTCCGGAATGCGTGAGGCAGCACGCCGCATTTGAAGGCGTTTTCAAAACAGCCAAGTTCCGTTATCGGAATAATCGTTTTGCATAGTTCATATTATTTTGTTTCCATTTCTAACCACTTGTTTAATTATAATCCTCCTTTAAAAACACCCATTTTCAAAATACAATTCTAGCTGAAGCGCACTTCAGCTATGCATTCACCACTGCAAAAATTTCAGAGGAAATCGACAAGCCCAGCGTGCATGCAGGCAATTTTAATTGTAATCTTCCGTCACATTTCTAAGGCGCAATGATACAACTATTTGAACTCTCCGGAATGCGTGAGGTATCACGCCGCATTTGAAGGCGTTTTCAAAACAGCCAAGTTCCGATACCAGGATTATCGTTTTGCATTGTTCATATTCTTTTGATATATTCCGCACCACTCGTTTATTTTTAATCCTCGAAAAAAAACCACCCATTTGCTTAATACAATTCTAGCTGGAGCGCACTTCAGGTATGCATTCACCACTGCAAAAATGTCAAAGGAAATCGACAAGCCCAGCGTGCATGAAGGCAGGCCCGCCACAAGGGGGGGATACTGGGTCCCTGGTGCCTGGGCCCTGGCCCCGGAGGGGGCCCGTGTTACCCGTGAAAAACCGCTACGAATTCACATGCAACCCTTGTTTCGTAAGAAAAAGTGAAAAATTTACCCTAAAAATTTCGCAGAAGGTGAATAGATTTTTAGAAACACGCGGGAGCATCGTAGAATTCTTCTTAAATTTTCAAAGAAGTACACTTCTTGGAAAATTTCTATCTATTTTCAAGATGAATTTGAATGGATAACTATTCGCGCTCCCAATACTGCCGTGCTAAGGAAGAACGCTTTGTAAACATTCGAGAGTTGCCAAATTTTCTTCGATACAATTTTCAGTTTTGAAGAGAGTTGTGTATAATTTCTCTTAAAATTTTCACATGACATAGATCTAATTACGAAGAAAATTCTCTGAAAAATTGATTGGAAAATATTCACATGTTTCCCCGAAAATTCGTATTTGATCAACGAAAATTTAGGAACTGAAGAATGTTCATGCTGCGTTTTTCCTTAGCGCGGCAGAGTATGTTTGTTGCTTTTGCGGCAAAGAAGGCAAACTTTTTTAGAAGACAATACCTATCAATAGGTTTTCCAATAAAATCTTAATGAGAGATTAATTGTGAGATTTTCCATTAAATTCTCTTCCCCTTCATTTACGCTCCCGGTTTTGTTATTGGTTCAGTCAAAGCACACAACGAGTCACCAGTGATTATGTTTATTTGATAGCTTACTATTTGTGCTCCTCCGTGGATTTGTTACTTATCCGGAAAAAAACTGGAGGCGAACTTAAATTATGGACGAAGTCTATCAAAAGTCGGGGAGGATCTAAAACTTCACGGAAAAATAGTGAAGTTGATTTAACATTATGAATGAACAAAATTATACGAGAACTTATAGCATGCTTAATTACCCGCTACAGCAGTTATTTTAGCAATGCCAAGATGTAAAACTAACTGCTGCATTTTACAAGTTCTCGCACACCTTTTGTACATACTCAGTATGTTAAATCGACTTCACTTTTTTATCGATGTTTTTCTGCATGAGACGCTTTGACCAGATACTCTTTTGTGATAAAGATCTCACAGTAAAATTGCAATAGTTTCATTTTCTACTGATCCGAACAAAGACGAGTCGCAACTTGGCATGTTTAAATGTCATTCTTCAAAATTACGATTCAACAACATAGACTAAAAGATTTTTGGGATAAATTCGTTGAAAACTCGAGCCTTTCAGTATTTGGATTTCAGAAGACATAATTTTGATCAACCAATTTCATAAATGGAAAAAGAGAAAAAAACTCACCACAGGCAGCGCAGAAGAAAAGATGCGACATTTAAGAGCGGCCATTCCGTGTGCCATTGGCGCCGATGAAAAATTTGAACCAAAATCCTAAATGACAAGAGCTATATTTTTGGAAAGTTTTCGTATTGATCCAAGTGCGAATTAGGGGTTTACGTCATCGCATGAATATACATACCAGGTGGAGCCGTGATTATTATATTGGCAAGGTCTGTATCGCCATCCATCATTATGAGCTCAACCAATTTTCCTCTCCAAGCACCTGAAATTTGATACAAACCAAGGCCCACCCGATCACAGATGTGTTGATTACAAACACGCACTTCTGCTTTTTCACCATCGATATGTTTATCCATGTTGTTAGTATCCTTTTCTTCCTCAATAGCCCCCCCCCCTTAACCACTATGATGGGAAGTGTAAATTCGTATAAAGTCTCCTCCTAGATAAAATCAGTTAATAGTGGAGTCAAATACAGTACCACGATTTTCAATGTACTACGCTCAATACGGTATATAAAAGTAACTTGTTATTTTGAAAAAAAAAAAAAAAAAAAAAAAAAAAAAAAAAAAAAACCTGTAATGAGGTGATATTTCGATGGCCAAAGTGCAAAACCAGCGTTTCAAAAGTGTTTCTCCTATTTTATTTTTTCGAGGGAGAAACAAGCCAAACATACAGCCTGAAAATTTAGAGGTTTCTACCAAGGAAGAAAAATCAAGAAAATTTTCGATTTGCTGCTACGTCTCCGTCCATGGGTAGAAGAATCTCAATGATAAAAAACTCAAATGATGGCCTATGGTGCCCTTTTCAGATTAAATTATCGATTTATTTGAAAAAAAAAACGCTTCGGACAAAGAAGAAAAAGCAGGTGAATTTCTACAATATTATATCGATTAGTTTGCCGGTTGAAAAATGAAGTATGACAGGAAATCTATAGAATCTCGAACCGAGACCGATGGGTCGTTTCAGAATTTAGCGATGGATTACTGTTCACGACGCGGAACACATTATCGGCTGTAACCAGATAGGTATTGTTGAGGGCTTGGGGGATCAATGTTCTCTCTGACCTTTCACCTCGGATAAGTGCCATGGTGTCTGGCAAGTGCCACAGGCTCGAAGAACTGGTTATTCAGCTCCTCCAGCCGTATAATATCAATTATACTGCACGACGAACGCAGTTTTGACTGCACCATGCGCCTCCGCAGATTTATGCATGTACCTATGTTGTTTTACTTTCAGGCGTTGTCAGATTTGATCAATGGAATTTGTTAAAGAGTATCCTCAAAACCATTCACTCGTGCGAGCGCTCTAAAATTCTGCCGTGCTAAGGAAGAACGCCGTACGAGCCTTCAGATGTTGCCATGTTTCCTCCGATAAAAACCGAATTCTCTGGGAAAATTGCTAGTATTATTTTCCAAAATTTGCAAACAATTTTGCACGCAATCGAATCTAAAATATCTGAAAATTTCAAGGAAAAATACGCATGAATGTTGTCAAAAATACATTTTTTATTAAGGGAAATTTAGCAACTCTCAAATGTTCATATGAGTTCTTCCTCAGCCCGGGCACGGCAGAATTCACATGCGGCGAGACTTATTGCGTTATCTTTAATTGAAGGCGTTTGCCTTGCTGAATTTTTCGCATTGTTCGGGGGTGTGGGGATTTGCACGTCCGACTAATTTGACTCCGGAATGAATGACATTAACACATTCTACTTACTACGAATGCTTCTAATATTTACTATAAAATTTACCATCCGCGTGGTTTTGTGTAGGGAACGATCATGCATTTTTTTATTTCCTTCAGCCGCGGCTCGGCATGTGAATGGGCTGTGCTGCCGTAGAGGAACGTCGTATGAGCATTCAAATTTTGCCGAATTGCTTTCTATATGTAAATATTTATTTTTGAAGAACGCCATGGATATTCTTCAAGAAAATTTTCAGACACTTCAGGTCACACTACGAACAAATTTCACTAAAAAAAAAGGAAGAATCTTTACAAATTTCCCGGAAAAGTCGTGATATGTCAAAAGAGATTTGGCATTGCCTGAAGGCTCATACGGTGTTTGGCCTTAGCACGGCAGTATGAGACAAGGAGGCGATTGCCTCTCACCCCCTCTCTCTCAAAAATGTTGATGCTTTTTTTAAATGGTCATACTTTAAATGAAAACACCCGATAATTTCGTTCTAAAGATACCTAATTTTTAAAGCTTTTCAGGGTTAGAGCCCCCAAACCTCTTTGAAAAAAAACCTCTCAAGATCTCTAGATTCTCCCATCTTATCTTTGCACAAATCCGACCCCGTCAAAGTCTCAGCCCACGCTTTGCCTCTCATTATCTTCTTATTCAATCACTCTTTGTCCCCATCCGTTCTTGACATTGAATCTTATATTCAGTGTGCGGCTCAAAGAAGTTTCCCGCATTTTCTATTTTCAATATCCCCTCTTTCGTAACCGAATCTATAAACGATCAATGATTTGTTGCATATGCAAACCATATACTCGAGGTGGAATTATCAATTTTGGAAAAAAAACGTCCTTTGTCATTTGAAGAGCATTTAATTTCAATTAAACTTTTCCCTTTATCAAAATACCTCCATCTTCATACTAAGCAGCAGGACGGCAGTTTTCCGGAGTTATACGGCTCCACTTTTGTCGATGCGGCTCCGCCCTGTCTCGAAAGTTTCGTGATTTTAATTTATTTAAAGCCTGCCCCGGAAACTTTTAATCCATTCATAATCCGTCTCATTTCCCGTCTTTTGCTCCAACTTTTTTTTTCTCACTCGGGTCGTTTTTTCGGCCGGAGTAGTTGCCTCCTCTACGGAATTCACATTTGCATCACGGGTCGCCGAGAACTAAACGACAATGCGCGATACTTTTCGCTCCCAAGTCCTGCGGTGAGCGACTTATCCAACCAACTGAACACACAATTTCGCGAAAGGCTAGACGGTTTCGATGATTTTGTTCATCATATACCTATTCATTCTATATAATTAAGTTCTGAAAAAATCCGCACCTGCAATGAGCACGTATCGAACGCATTGTCAAACCAAAACAAGCTTTGAATAAGTTAGGTACCAAGAAGAGTTCAAGACATTTTTTAGTTAAATGAGGCATTGGAAGTTTAAAAAAAACTTCTCTGAAGAAATGGATTACTTACTCGACACATTTTAAAAATTAGTGAGAAACATGATTTTTGATTTGCACGCATACGTTACGCAAATTAGTGGGAAGGATCGGCAAACCTCATTTCCATCTCAAGGGAAAAAATCTTTACGTTTTTGTATCATGAAATACCATTTTTTGCCATGATCATTTAGAAATGTGTCTATAAGTTGGAAAGTCCTTATTTTCGTAACAATCTTGACGGATTATCCCGTTTTATTTAACAAAGGACAAATTAAATATAATGCGCTCGGTGTGAAAAGCGTCTTTATGATGAAAAACACGCAATTTTGGCTAACATGCACCTATAAAGACACACCGTAATACGATCGTTTATTACGTATCAAGAGTCATATCGTCCAAATCAGGCTATTTTCGTAAATTGCGTAGATTCAAAGCGTAGGTAATTTACGCAGAATTTGCTAATTTTCAGAGGGGTCCAAAAACAGTTCTTGCGAGCCCATAAAAGGCTTCAACGCTACCCCTCCAAGTTTAATGTTCATTTCATAACATCATAAATTATAAGGGATGCTTCTCAGAGGGAATTTTACGAGGAGACCAGTAGAGCAACTTTTAAACCTATACGTTTTGTATTATCGAAGCTGTAGAGTTTCCATATACTGTCCGACCTTGTGTATATTATTATAACTTGTTCTGTAACTGTTCTGAGAGAGGCTGAGCTGTACATTGTCGCGACGCACAGTGGATTGAGTCAAGTAGAGAGGTCGGACATGAAATATTTTACTAAAACCGCAAATTTTGATGTTTATAACGCCACATTTTAAATTTGAAGGGGTGTTACTAGAAGGAAATTTCACAAGAAAACCAATGGAACCACTTTCAGAATTTCGAAGTCTTGTATAAACGGAGTTATGAGCGTTTAAAGTTTCCACATTGCGTCCAACCTCTCCCATCAACTCGATCCACTGTGCAACGCGACGGTGAAATGTCGCGCCTTGAACCATCGTGGACTCGACGACGTCCACCTGACCATCGATTATTTGAAATGACGCAATCGTTATCTATATGATCGATTCGGGGAAAATGTTCCTCAAGTTGAAAACTCTAATTGTTCAGTGCAGTGAGGGTTTAAAATATCGATTTTGAGTTCCGATGCTGCATATCGACGGTGAAACTACCAAACCACGTATCTCGTTTGCGGTGTTTAAAAATCTACGCTCACATTTTATTTTTTTGAAGTAGACGAAATCAATATCATTCCTTGAAATTTTCACAGAATTTTCTCCGCACGAAGAGGAAAAATCACAGAAATTTTCAAGACCGGACGTTAAGTAGTTTTTCATTTAAAAAATAAAGTATGACAGGAAGTCTGCGACGTCGCAAACCGAGATACGTGGTTTGGTAGTTTCACCGTCGATATGCTCTTAAGAACATTAAGTTCAAGTTTCAAGCCATATGTCATAGCATTTGACTTTAATCGATCCAAGGGCTGGCATTAACCTCCTCCTAAGTCCCGGCGGCAAGACATCATATCATTTTTCCATTTTTTTGATAGTGTTAGAGACCCGATGGCGAACCGACCCACCATTTCAAGTTCTAATAATGACTTAAGCCTTGACTTAAGTTAGCCTTGACTAGCACCCTTTAACAGTGCTACCACTTCCCGGAACTAGTGCCGAATTTTGAAACTTTTGAGATTTTCCTAAATTTTTCCTGGAATTTTCAAAATCTCCAAAATGTTCCAAAGCTTTTGTATTTCCCGGAACCTTCTCGAAAATGTTTAAAAAAATCAAAGAAAATCCAGGAACTTTTGACGGTTATGGAGTGAGAGAAATCGGAACAAAAAAGTTCCGAATCCCGGAACTTTGGAATGGAATGGACATGGAATGGGAGCGCTGCCCTTTAGTGCTGTCCTGAGTCGAGTCGACGAGGGGATGAATCTCCACTCTTGGGGTCGTCGGGCAACATGGTGTGAAGTTGGGATGCTCGGGGTGAGCCGTTTGAGAATTGATGCGACTATGCGTGGCGATGCTGGGTGCCGGCGGCGGCGCGGCGCGAAGTCGGCGGGCGTCTGGACGTCTCGCACAGGTCGCCAAGACCGGTCGACCCGAGGAGCCTTACTCTTTTCCGCCGGTGTCCCGCGCTTCGCACTCAGTAACAACCCGGCTCTCGCCCTCGCCAAAAGCGGCGCGCTCTTCGCGGATTCGGATTCGCGACCACGTGTTTTTCACGCCGCTCTCGCGATCCCAACCGGAAACCGCTCCTTGCATCTGAAATCTTTGAAAAAGATCCGGACCATTTGAAAGCGTGAGTGAACACGTTTTGCCGTTTGGGTTCCACCCCGGATTGCCGTCATCTTTTGCGAGTTCGTGCGTCAATTGTCTCCGCGTTAATCGGTTCAGTTCGTTCGTCGAGGTTAGGATTGGACCATTTAAAGACCTCTCGAAAAGATCGATCTATTTATCTGCGCAAATTTTATAGAAAAAATTAAAATTAATGTCGATCAACACCACAGAAAGTGCGTGCGTAAACATATGTAAATAGTGCGTTCGAGTGCTCTAGACTAGACTTATAGGTACGTGCCAATGTGAAGAAAGAGTTAAATTCTAAAAAAAAAAAAAGGTTGAAATGTTTTTGTTAAAAAATTAGTTCTCAAAGTTTATCGTGATCCTCGTCCTAATTGCTGATGAGGCAGGTGAATGAATAGACGTGTGAATGTGAAGCAGTTAAAGTAACGTGCCAAAGTCATTTGATGATTTCATCGTCCGTTCGCAAGACCACTGCTAGCGTGCATGGCTAGATCATCCTCTTTTTAAAAGGTATGTGTTTTACCTAGACTCTGTAGTTATTAAATAGGTACAACATTTGTTTACGTATCAACGGTGTAGTCTCAAAAATGCGCATCTCGCTTGCGGTGTTTCAAAATCTCTCCTCTCATTTTATTTTATCGCAGGAGAACAAAACAACACATTTTCTCGGAATTTTTCTATATTTTCATATTCATATTTTTTTTTTATTTAGATTTTTTTTAACAGAAACGATAAATTAGAGGGAAGTTTTTAAGAAATACCTAACTTTGAGTATGTAAAATTTAATATGACAGTAAGTCTGAACCATCTCAAACCGACTTACGCATGCATTTTTGCAGTTTCATCTTCGGTGAGGAGCATGATGAATGTGTTGATGATGATGGTCCATCATGACGAAGTGACTGATGAGAGAGTGAATGTCAGGTGAAAGAAATTCTCGATCGTTTCTTACTAATACGATTTTTTACTTTACGTAAATATTCCTATTTCTGTGTAAGTAGGTGAATACAAATGAGTAAAATAAATTTTTGGAGGCTCGACTATCTCCGTTCGATCAACGCATTGACCATCACAATTCGGCGGTGAAACCACCAGATCACATATCTCGTTCAAGGAATTTAAGAATATCCGCCTCCATTTCATTATTTTGAAGGAGAAAAAATCAATATCATCCCTTGAAGTTTTCACAGAAATTTCATCGCGAAGAACAAAAAATTCACGGAATTTTTAAGAATTGACGTCGAGTAGTTTTCCAAGTACTGCAGGATGACAGGAAATCTGCAGAGTCGCAAACCGAGTAGTTTTACCATCGATTTATATGGCAATCTTTATAGTTTTTTTTTGCTAGTGTAATAATTATTACTCATACTTTCTAATATAATTTAATGACAATAATACGAATAATAAGACCCTGGTAAAAATTGGCAGTAGAATGTGTGTTCCAAAATGGTATAGACCTAAAGCCGGCTGTAAGATTTCCAATAGCTTCTGTAGCCGGCTGTACAATTTCGTATAGCCTTTTATAGCCGATGACGATTAAGCAACAGCCAGACAATAAAGTTTATGCTAAACGTTACTAAATACGGATACTAGGACTTAAGTAGTTTTTGGACTACCGCTCTCTTTTTGTGCCGTAGTATCTTGATTTATTTTACGAGGAAAGCTCCGTACTTTTGAAGGATGCCTGTCATTCTTAATATGTTGGAGCGCCTTCAATTTCGTATGATACTGTGCAATACCTCTGGTGTGAAATAGTTGCTTCAGACGCCGTGGCACGCTACGGCGCGGCGGGCGGGCAGAGAGCGCGAAGCGCGCATTGGCGCCTACAAACCTAACAGGGATACTTCACGCATTGCGCAATGCGTGAAGTATCCCTGTTAGGTTTGTAGGCGCCAGTGCGTCGCCGCTCCTCCGCTTTGTGTTAGGCTCTAATATTTAATTTCGCGGAGTTAGCGTTTTTCAACTCATGATTTTGAAATGTTTGCACACTCTGTATGGACTATTCTCATTTTAAATGATGAAAAAAAAAATATTTTTATAGGAAAATATAATGTGCGTTTTGTAAATATTAAGGTAGTTCCGTATCAAACTCAATGATTGGCCATAGCACACGAATTTCTATACAGCTTCTTACAGCTTTTTACAGCCCATGGCGATAAAGTTAAAGCCCGGCGGCGATAGGAACTATAGCCCGACTGTATACTTTTTTATAGCCTCGTATAGCCCGGCTGTATGATTTGCTCCGCTTTCTACAGCCAGCTATATGATTTTCAATAGCCTTCTTCAGTCGGCTGTAAGAAATCCTATGGCATTTTGAAACGCAGCTCCTATCGCCAATTTTTACCAGGGGAAATAGACATCGGCCACGGGTATAACTATATGCACCAGGGCAAAATCCTCAGAGCGACATTTGTGATTTAAAGAGCGTCGGAAAGTCCGATTTTGCGACTCTGACAAAATACGCACTTTATAATTGCCTGAAGAAAAAGTCGAAAGTGTATTATTTCATTTCCATGGCAGGAGAGGATATAATGCTCGATTTTAATCAGATTTAATTATAGCCCCCTTGCATGAACTGTAAAAACTTTGAATAATTTTTTTCTCAAATCCTATTTGTGCGTTTTAGTTGATTAAATTGCTAACTTCGAACCGACAAACCTCCGGTTCAACTGGCATCTTTTGCAATTCTAGTACATAGGCAGTGCAAGCAGAGCTTACATTATACTTCGATGTAAATCGCACTTTGCAGTACTGTAAGACATCGATGTCAAGAAATAATGGACCATAGACACATTCATTCTGTGTGTGAGTTAGAGGAATACTGTAGGTAAGCAAGGAAAAATTATCGAGAATTGGTACAGGCCTTTAGTTTCCGGGAATATTGAGCAGGGAGGAGAGGAGAAAACCGAGGAAGGCACGAATTCAAAGTTTCAAGAAGTACCGGATGAAAACGGGAAAACTTGAAGGAAAACAAAGCGTATTGACTCACTCACTTCGTTTACTCAACTTCCTCCGGTGAGAAAGTTTGTCCTGAAAAGCTGTTGGAATTATTTGGTCAGAGAAAATATTGAAAGTCGAAAAAATATTGAACAAGAATTACCCGCGACTCGGCGTCAGTTTACATGGAGAAGGCAGATCTTGAACTTGAGCGATCAATTCTCTCTCCTCCTCGGGAAACTCACTCAGAGAGCCGAGGAAACTTCCTCGACTCAACCTGAAAACATTACCGTGAAAATACGCAGAGCCTGCGATTAAAGTAATTAGTCTCCTATTTTATTTCATAGAAACAAATAATAAATTAACCAAGAAAATCAATTAGAACGAACCGTAGTATATGAATAGGTGATTCTTTTTCATCTTCATTCTTGTTCATTATTTTTTTAAAAAAAAAATGGAGTTGTGTTTTTAGGGTGGACAATGAAGAATAAGGACAGGAAAAAGAAATAGAGTCCAACACTCCGCGGCTTTAAGCATAAATTAAGCGAATCATCGTTTTTTAAAAAAAAAAAAAATTCTGTGTAAATATACATAGTTGTTACATGTTAGTGATTAGATCTTTGGTTTTTAGTAAATTAATGGGAGTGAATAATTTCATATTTTGTGACCTGCATTATAGGAGGCCGTTCAAGAATTCTTTAAAGCGTTTTGGCTGATTCAACCCCCCCCCCTTCATCCTCGTACAGTACCCGTAGGACACCCTCTCGCCCCTCTCTTAAGAATTTCGTAAAACTACTTTGATAGCCCCCCGTGCCCCGTCCCATTTTTTTAAAAAAAATAGCGGACACATGCCTGAAAAATAGCTGAGAAAGTTTTTTATAAAAAATCTCACTTTTTTTATTTGGAGGCTTACGTAACACTTGGTTAAACGCCTCTTCCCCGTGTAAACCCCTACATGGCAAACTCAGACCCTCTCCCCCTTTAAATAGCTATATGAACGGCGTCCAGGTGCATGACGCGGGTGGAGAGGAATCGAAATTTCGAATGTCAGTTTGCGACATAATTTATAGATGGCCCCCAAAACTTTATGCTCATCACAATGAATGCCATGCAAAAATTCAGACTAATAGCTTCTCCTAAACTCGTCCAATTTGTCTTTGTCAGAAGCAAGACATGTTACAAATACCTTCGACTCCTTCGGAGCCCTGAATCAAACCTTAATTCCATCTTTGAACCCAGATAGCTCGAGTTAGGGAGGGGGTCTGGGGCTACCCTCGGAAAATTTTTGAATTTTTAAAGTATAAACAGTTTGAGTCAATTTCAATATGAATAATTACCTAGTGTCAGCATATTTCCTTTTTCTTTCCTCCATTCCTTCCTTCTTTCTTCCTCCTTTTTTCAGGTAAACAGGGGGGGGGGCGCACGCCCCCCCCCCCAGATCCACCGATTGTTATGTCTAAGATTCAAATGGTCACATTCAATTAGCAAAGCATCCGCGTAGATCTATAGTCGCTATTTGTTTTACGACGCAGAAAAACGATGTAGATCGATTTATTCTCATTTTTGTAGCATTGAAAGTGATTGTGACACTGTTATTGTTTGGGCCCAGTTTGATGAAACGGAGAATCCTCGTGGTGACGTCATTACTAATAGCGTCTATCAGCAAAGAGGAGAGACGCCGCCGCTTTGAAGTTCCCATTTTTCAGCCCCAAATCATGATGGTGAAGCAACAAAGGTACAAAGAGGATAAAAAGATGAAAAGGGTTGCACAAAATTGAAGGGGAAAAGGTGAAAACAGTAGAGCTAAATGAATTATACATTATAGCGGGAAGATATATTTTCCCCGTGTTTTCCCTGGAGAATCGCGAAGTTGCCGCAGTTCGTATTCTCATTGTTCTTCGGGCGGATTTACTTAGTCAGAATCAGTCTGACTGCATTTCACGTTGGCTAATCCCCCTCTAATTTTTATTCTCTTAACGGAGAGCTAAGTGCAATAAGGCGTTGAACTTTCTGTGAAATTCCCCCAATTCTTGAGAAAAATACCCAGTAAAGTTTACGTAAAAAATATGGAAGAAGGGTTCGCTGGAAACATTTTTTTTATCAGCTTTCGTAAGAATTTTCGGAGAGTCGTTTCAAGAGATCATAGCTATTAGAGCTGTCAAACAACACACATTTAGCCTCAATGAAAGCCTCATAGGTAACTATACCGAATATTTTCTCTATTTCGATCCTGCACGAAGACGAAAACTTCGTGCATGAGACTCGAAGTTCATGTGGATCTATGAAGTCTCAGATCAAACATTCGAGAACTCGAGGTATACCTACCGAAGTTCGGGTCACACATTTATAGTCCTCGGTAGTTCGATTGAAACTTCTATTGAGACAGCCGAGGCACCAAAATACAACAGATGTGTGACCTGAACTGCGGCACCTGGACCTCAAATTAGATTACATTTTGGAATTAAAGGAACTTCAATTTCCCCATGACTCATCCGTAAAAACACTTATTATATGAATGGCACATACGGTTTCTAAACTGAGCCAGTTCCTTATTCCTATATTACGCCAACTTCAGGCCCCTCCAGGGTGGCAAAATTTCATGAGAAATAAAATCTTGAAATTACTCGTGAGATATTTCATGGAATTTCAGATATTTATGAAAGATATTGAAAAATACCGGTTCCTTTTCATGTTTCGCAAAAGGTAAAAATTATGACTTTCTTCTATTTTTGTGTGTTTGAGTGGAGGATGCATTCTCTAGCCTCTGAAAAATATGAAATATCTCGCAGTCTTGTGAAATTTCCTGAAATATTTCACTGAAAGTTCCCATCTTTCATTTCTTCTTCACGTTTCATGCCACCCTGGGTCCCTCCCACGCATTAAGTTTTCGTCTTGTGCGAGCTTTAAACTAAGAATTTGTCGATGGTGGGGTGACTTGAAAACGCTGGAACGGCTGAGCTGGATTGCGCGACACGGTGCGAGGCTCAGTGTCTTAAATATGTTTTGTCATTTATTACTTCATTCAAAAGAGCGCGGCTCGGCTGCGACGATAATGTCACCGATTAATCGTCGTGTTGTGTTCCCACCGCCGCCGCCGTCGCCGGAGACGACAAAAATTGATCCGTCGTGACGCCTCCCCGGTCGCCACTGGTCGTTGTCGAACGACGTCTCTCGTTTTCGACGCCCAGTAAATTCTCCCGCGCTCAGCGGGGCAACACCAGTAAATTGTTCTGAGCCCTTCTTCACCGCGCCGCACGGTAGATTGATTCAATAAGAGAGGTCGGACAAAATTTGAAAATTTTAAAAGCTTATAAATCCGTTTATACAAAATTTTGAGGTTCTAAAAGTTGTTCCATTGGTTTTCTCGTCAATTTTTTCTTCAGAAACACTCCTTTTAATTTAAAATGTGACGAAATAAACATCAAAATTGGCAGTTTTAGTCAAAAATTCCTTGTCCGACCTCTCTAATTGACTCGATCCATTGTGCGTCGCGCCGTCCGCCGAACATTCGTTTTCAGAATCATTTTTCGGCTGGCCGGACTCAGAATCTCCAGGGCGTCACGACTCCAACGATGAGCCGCATTGGACCACATTTTGAAATTTGGAACTATGATTTAGACGGATTTCTACCAAACGAAACTATGTACATTATGACGTGAGCCGTGTTATGCATATATTCTTATGGGTCTCAGGGCGCATGCTCAATGCACGTAGTTTCGTCGGGCAGAAGTACGTCCATTTCAGGCTGATCTATGAAATCATCTACCTGCGTAGGAAAACTCATAGCAGATATGGGCGTCACGACTCTAAAAATAAGCCCAATTGGACCACATTTTGCAATTGGGAACTACAATTTCAGGCTGATCTATGAAAGCATCTACCTGCGTAGGGAAACTCATAGCAGATACGCTGTTTCTAATGTGAGCCAGAAATTGTACTTCCTAAGTAATTGCAAAATGTAGTCCAATTGAACCACATTTTGCAGTTAGGAACTACAGTATCTGGCTCATCCGTTAAAATATCTATTTGAATTGGGAAACTAACAGTGCATACGTTGTTTCTGAAGCGAGCAGCAAACTGTAGTTCTTAATTGCAAAATGTGGTCCAATTTATACCGTGTTAACGAAGGGAGCAGTAAGTGCAAAAATTAACTACATTTTGTAATCAGGAACTACCATTTCTGGCTTGGATTAAAAACAACGTATTTACCAACCTCCTAATGTAAATTTTTTATAAACTACTCAATGCTTCCTGTTTTTGATTATATGTTTCAGATGAGTGCAAAAATCAGCTACCAGAAAAATGTCAAGAGATATTACCACACGAAAGTAGGTAATCATGAGTTTAGTGCATATTAAAAGTTAATATCACCAACCCGTCTTTTACATGACAAGTTCGCGCGTCAAGAAAAAAACATTTGCTGTGATTCCCGTGGAAGCAAACAGAGTATCATGATAACGTCATCATGATTTATTGGTGAGTTTTCCAAAGCTTTTCATAACCAATTTTTCTCAGTGTATAAACAAGTGAACCTACTTCAAAATCTATTCACATACATTTTTTCTGAATGCTTTCTCTCCCGCATCCTTAACGTCTCCGTTGGATAAAATTATAGCTGAAACGCCGATAGTTGGAGACTCGCAATTTGCGTCAAAAATGTTCTTTTTTATACTCCTCCTAGGAATTAATACAAAATAGAGATAACCATTTAAAAAAGAAAATTTGGAGACGGAGGCCTCCAAGCTTCCTGAGTGGGAACTAAAAATTTTGATCCACGCAAAATATAGACTTCTTAAAGATGGAGGCACTACCAAGGTTTCCTTTCCCTATCTTGAAATGTTCAAAAGTTGACCGCTGCGCAAAGTGTACGTTCCAACCAAAAGGCATAATTCTAAGGGGACGCATGCTCTTGGGGGTAGGGGCGGACACAGCCAACCCTCTGCCCCCTCCTGGCCTAAACATTGCACTGTGCGTAATGAAAAGGCACAAAAGTGAATTAGCCTTTATTATTTACAACATGACATTAAAAGTCAAAGTAATATTGAGCATTGGACAGTAGGTTTTACGTAAGAATTTGGATTCAAACTTTATGAATGTTTAATGTGAGTTGTTGCGAAATTTGAATCTCTAGTACTCTTTCGAAGACATTGCAGCGAATTACCCGATGTCATATTTCGTGGCGCATTCTGTTGCATTGATGCATGTGGCTCGACGTGCTTTTGGAAGAATCGATTAATATGCCATTCAAACCTATGGCAAAGGATCGATTATCAGGGCGTTCGCAACGAATTTCAAAATAATCGATTCTTTACCATAGCTTCAAATGGGAAAATATCGATTACTGCGCCTCGTCACTGATTGATTCCATAGCATAACTTTAGGTCTGTGCAGCTCTATCACATCACCAGCAAGATAAAAAAAAACTGAAGAAATTTGAGTAACACACGTCGGTGTTTTCCACCTCTAAGCTTAAAAAATTGTGCTTCCCTTCGGAAGACAGCTTTTCATTAAAAGCTTTTTGATGACAACAATCCTGATTGACAATGACCGTTTCGGACAACCATGATCAAAGCGACCCTTTCTTTCCGCCAGTCTGCCAATGAATATTCCAATTTTACGCACGAAATGCAAAATTCTTGTGCTTCTGATCATATTATTTTTGTCTAATTGTATTAATGTATTCTGCCATAAGACCACAATAATGACCCTTTGTCTTCAAAACAAAGTCAAGTTGTGCTCTGCCATGCTAAGGGAAAATGCCGTATTAACATTCGAGAGTTGCCCAATTTCCTTCGATAAAACATGTATTTTTGAGGGAGTTTATGCATATTTTCCCTTGACACTTTCAGATATTCTAGATTAAATTGCGCACAAAATCGTCAAAAAATTTTGAAAAATAAAATTCGCAATTTTCCCAGCAATTTTGATTTTTATTGGAGGAAACTTGGCAACGTCTGAAGGCTCATACGGCGTTCTTCCTTAGCATGGCAGTGAGCGCTGGTGTCATTTCTTCCGCGTTCATTCACGTCTAAGATCGGGAGTGAGAACCGCGCTGTGCGTTGAAACTCTGACCCGGAGCTCCCAGCAGATGTTTTCGCAGGGCGTGGGATTTTGAATTGGATGTAGAGAAAATTGCCTGTCCAAACGGCGGCACGGCGCAGCGTGACTTTAGCTGACGCCTCGCTCTCATCTGCAATTTTCTTGCAGCGGAAATGCTGCCGCTCAAAAAAATAAGTGGGCCCGAAAACCAATTTCAGTACTTGCTGAATTAGCGAAAAAGAAGGAGCTCTGCTGAGAAAACATTCGCTACAATGTGCACTGAGATTCTCCCTGGCGCGAAAAATGAGCGCAGGTTGTCACATTTTCGAAAAATGGTGTGCATAGGAACGAGCAAAAAATGGAAGATTTAACGCGTTTTGCCTTATCTTGCGAAGAAAACTATTCGAATTATTGTCGATGTTGATATAATGGAAACTACGCACATTTCTGACCTTCAGCTTTTTTTTTTACACCTTCGCTTTTACAACGGGTAGCGGGTGTGTATGACAGTGTTCGAAACTCACCGGCACCAACGCGCCAAATGCGCTTAAGAAATCGGCCATGGAGCCTAAAAAATGAAGGCTCTGCACCAACGTGGCCCCGAAAAATTGCCCCCATGAATCTGGATTTTCACCGGAAGTCACGTGAAGAAAGAAAAACAAATCTATTTGAATCGAAACAACTCAGAATTTTTAGCACGCTACAAGTGAAAGCTTGCTTTTTCTATTCTTCACGATTTCATTCTCAGTGCTTTTGTCTTCCCAAGTTACAGCTACTTACTACCTACTTCTGTTTCGAAAACATCTTGCGTCTAACTTTTTACTGAATGCGCCGTAATATATTGGCAAAAAGTCAATTTGGCCCCTAAAAAATCTTCAATGGCGCCTAAAAATCGGGCTTGATGCGCCACATGACTCCTAAAACTCAAAGGTGAGTTTCGAACACTGGTGTATGAGGAGGTCATTATTTCAGGCAGCAAATAGGCTTTTGAGGGGTATTGAAGGTGAGAGAGCCAGAATGATTGCGAAATTCTGTAGGAAGGGCCCATATGAGTCTACTACTGCCTAGCTTAAAACATTAGAGCATGATCCTGACCGTACTTCTGGCCCAAGCAACTATCACTACTCCTAAGCCACTCACATTGCCTGCTGAAGAAATTGAAGGCGAACCGGTCAGAAAGGGTGCAAAGAAGTGTAAAAATCTACGGATAAACATAAATAGTAGCGTTCTAAACAGCGTAACTCTAGAGAAGAGAATTTGCATCACGTAAATAAATAAAAATGCCATAATTCGTATAATTGAACCTCAGCTTAATCTGTGTTAAAACTACTTCTTAAGATCTTATTCGGGGGGTAATTTTTGGAGGTTTCGTGGTAGGAATCATTTTTTGCTCAATACTCCAAAGAGGAAACATGTGACTTTTTTCCCCTCTTCTTCTCTGTAGACTGTGTCTATTGGCCCATCCTGACTTGCTAAATTTTCGTCACCACCGTGAAAAAAGTATCCCAAAAATTTTCTAGAGAGAAGATTTTGGGGAAAATTTCTGCTGCAAAATCAAAATGTAGGAATCTCGCAAAACGCTATGGCTTGTCCAACGCTTCAAATCGATTCACGGTGGGACGTGGTTTTCAAATGTGCCGTTCAGTCAGGAGACAGGTCTATTGGAGGTGTGCCATTACTAAATAACGTGTTGTCATTTACGTTAGGTGTATGATGACACAACATGATGAGGTGATCTTTGGTTACTCATTGTCGATCCCCTTCACCAGGCGAGTCTGATTGAAATTCATATTGATCGTTAACTTCATGATTCATACAGCATTATTCCTCTATATCGATGTGGGTGGTTAGATTTGTATAACATGCGTGCTTATAGGTGCGCAATGCACAACTGAGTCAATAGCTATTTTTATTGCATTGTCCATGACATCGTGCGGCTTTCAAATTGTGTGAGCAATAAAATGTGTCATTTTATATGCGCGCTTTTTGAGACCGCAATTTAGAATTAAGATATTATTATTTCCTCAAACAAAATAGCATTGGCAAAAAATGTTAAATTTGTAAAAATTTGCAAAAAGCGATCATATTTGCCTGATTTTAATTATTGACCGTTATTGCCGAATCATTTAAATCGTAATGTAACTTGAGAATGCAATGACACTCTTCTTACCCACACAGGCAATGATAATCCATTGAATCCTCATTTTTTAACTTTGGACACTTACGTCATTTGGAAAAATATCGGTTCACTTGTATGAAGTAGAGCCAAAACAACGAAGCAATAAAAAATGTTTCAATCTAGTTTGATCGTCTGACATCGGCAAATTGCCACCGTACGGTAAATTGGACGTATTTCTATCAAACAGAACTAAGTGCATTATGACGTGAGCCTTGTTATGCGTGTTTTCTTATGGGTCTCAGGTCTCATGTATAAATGTACATAGCTCCGTTTGACAGAAATACGTCCAACTGTTATTCTTTGCTGTGATTACTCAGCAACACGCGCGCAAAATTATCTAGGCGTTGGTCCTAACATATGAGAGTTTCATGACCCCTCTTGCACAGAATACACCGATTCTAAATCCTTCAGCCCTAATAATTGAATTTCAAGTAGACCAGTGCACTACTTTGACCTCACACATAGCCATGGTTGTCGATTTTCAATCCGAGACTTTCAACAGTTACGAAACTCAATATAGAATGTAACTCAAGTGCAAGGATTGATGCAAAATGGAAAAGAATATAAGTGTGGGTGCTTTTGCGGTCCATTCGCCCTCCCTCTCACAAAAAAACTCAACTACATTTCAATTTTGTCAAATTTCATATTGCATTTTTGCCAATAGAATTTGCGCATTTCTTACTGAAAATATCACTGATTTTTCTTCTGGTCTCATGCTGAAATAAAAAAAATTCAGTCAAAAAGTGCACTTGTACGTTCTGATAAAAAATTAAATTTGAGTCAATTTTTCAACATTGGAATTGAGTTACGTACCTTCGTCCCGGAAACGACGAATTATGATGTCATGTCGCGAATAAAATACCATATTTCGAACGACTTTCTCCGGTCAAACGTGAAGGCAAAAAACGAATCTATCATATTACACTATTACTTACATACTTGCTGATGTAGCATTTCTTATTGTGATGCTGCAAATTTCCCAAGGATCTTAATTAACCGATAAGATTATCTTGAGAACAAAGAGCAGATTCCGTCTTATTGAAAAGATTGTATTTAATTCGGCACCAGATTTTAAACCATGGGGGCCTCCTAAGGAAAGTACCTGTTTAATGAACGACTAAGATACAACCTAATTCCCAAGTTGCAGTGATCGAGAGAAATAGCGATATATCGGTTGATTATCGCGATTATATCGATGGCAATTTATCGCGATATTATCGAATAAAAAATTGCAATTTAAGGCGATTAAATCGCTATG